TTTTGTTCCAGTGAAATCCCTTCCATCATCCACTGAAACCGCTAACCTCCTCATAACCCATGTTTTCAGGCTTCATGGCATCCCATCGGAGATCTTGTCAGATCGCGGCCCCCAATTCCTCTCCAGGGTCTGGAAGGAGTTTGCCACCTTATTGGGGGCCCGTGTTTCCCTGAGTTCTGGTTACCACCCCCAAACTAACGGTCAGTGCGAGCGGCTCAATCAGGAGTTGGAGGCTATGCTCAGATGTGTCTGCTCTTCAAACCCTACCAGCTGGAGCACCCAACTACCATGGATCGAGTACGCGCACAACTCCCACGTTTCCACTGCAACCAGTAAGTCCCCGTTTGAATCATCCCTTGGTTACCAACCTCCCCTGTTCCCTTCGGATCTATCCTCCTCCGTCACAGTCCCTCAGTTTATCCGCCGGGCAAGGAGGACATGGATCCAAACCCGGGCGGCCCTTCAGCGCACCAAGGAGCGCAACCAACGGCTGGCAGATCGGCACCGCAGACCCGCGCCCGTGTACAGTCCAGGTCAACAGGTCTGGCTGTCAACCAAAGATATTGGTCTCAAGGGTACAACTAGGAAACTTTCACCTCGCTTCATTGGCCCATATCCCATTCAGGAGGTTCTCAGTCCCTGTTCTGTCCGTCTTGTCCTGCCCCCGTCTATGAAGATCCACCCTGTCTTTCATGTATCCCTCCTGAAACCTGTCTCGTCCAGTCCGTTGTGTCCTGTTCCTGCTCCCCCTTCTCCTATTCGTCTCACTGATGGTGGACTTGGCTTTCGTGTTCGGCGCCTGCTGGACGTCAGGCCCAGGGGCCGGGGGCGTCAGTTCTTGGTGGACTGGGAGGGTTATGGTCCAGAACATCGCCAGTGGGTCCCCAGTTCCTGGATTGAGGACCCTTCTCTCATCAGAGACTTTGACGCCGCTCGGTCTTCTGTTGCTGCCTCCTCCTCCGCCTCCTCCTCCTCTGCGCGGCCGCCGGGTGTCGGCCTTTGAGGGGGGGGTACTGTCATGATCTGTGCTGCATAACCATCTCTGCTGAGTGTTTTACAGGTGGGTGTGTCTGGAGAGCCCAGCTGTGCCAAATCAGCTCATCAGCGATCAGGGGATTTAAGGAGCAGCTGGACATCTCACCATTGCCAGATGATACTCAGTCTTGGGTAGTTTCTAGCTCTCCTTTTGACCTTCCTAAAACAATTTTAGAATTACTTTGTCTATTTGTTCCTGCCCTTCTGGCAGTTAACCTGCTCTGCCCTCCTGATTCCTCCAGGTTCCAGTCATCTGTTCATCTCCACTCTCTGCTATATCTTTGGAACCATCTACCACATTCCAGTCCTGCTGTTTGCCCCTGATCGCCAGCTCTCCATCACCCCACCTATCCACCTGCAGCTCCTCGGTCTCCCCATCCAGCCAGGTCTGACTAACCCCCCCCCACAAAATACCGGATCATTCAGGAAACGGTAAGCCTTATTTTTTCATCATCGTCTCACGTTGCTCCAGACTCTGACCTCTCTTCCTCTCTCAGACCCCACAGATCCCTCCAGTCCTGCAGAAGCTTCGGCTACCTCTCCTATTCAAAATAAATCATTTAAACTTACCTTCTGTCTCTCGGTGGTGATTCTTCATGTCGTGGGTCAAGAAATTACCCTCAAACATGACAAAAACATGTTTTGGTACCAGGCTGTAAACATGTTTATTTCTGCTGTGAAATTGGTATTTTTAACATGGGAGTCAAATGAGGATTTGCTCGCTTCTGATACCAGCCCCTAGTGGATGAGGGTGGAACTGCAATTTTTCTTACTTCCGGGTTGGCCTCAATTTTAAAGCCGCATTGTGAGGGCCTGGGTAGCACATGCGTTTCAGGCAGAAAGTAGAAAAAAACAGGCACTGCAGATGAAGCCAGCTGCTGAAGGGCTTCTTCTTCAGTGGTGGAGGCTCAGGCAGGCTGTATACAAACTACTGCTAGCTGCTAACTCTCTGTTGGACTTTGGTACTGCATGTTACTTCCACGTTTGAGATCCGGGGCTTTTCATTAAAGATTCGGGGCTTGAGCCCAAGTAGCCGGGCCTAACGCCACCCCTGGGTAGCAACCTAGCTACAACCAGAGTTAACTGTGCACAACACCAGAGCTTCTGAGTCAGAGATATGCCGGACTGATCGCTGGGTAAAACCGGGTGGAACACAGAGGTCTCCCGAGAGCTCCACAAGCCGATAGTCGGAACCCAGCTCCACCAACATGTAATATTTCAACCCATTTTCTAAAGTGCAGCATTATGTTAAATGCACTGGGTTTTACCCTATTACATTTAAATTTCATGGTTAAACAGTACATGTTAAAATCTAAGCTCCGCTCGGCAGTGACCTAAAATACATAAATATAATTTTACTTACCGAAAAAAATGAAATGGAGACTCCTTGGATGCTCTATTAGTGCAATTAATGCCACAGCAAGTCATTTTGTCCAGCAATTGCACAAATAACATCCAAAAAAGAACGCACAAATGCTACAACTAATGGTCTAAGTTGAGAGACAGAAAATGACGGAACAGTTTTCAGGCGAGGCCGAGGCTCTACTGAGGCCTTTCCCCGGAGCTAGCTCTGTGGTCACGTGGGTCTGATGCTCATTAATTATACAGAATTATAGGCTTTTAATACACTTAGAAGAGTGAGAAAAAAATTCACCCCCCTCAGAGTTGTCATGAGTATAAACTAGATCTATGAAACCTAAAACATTTTTTGGTACCAGGCTGTAAACATGTTTATTTCTGCTGTGAATTTGGTATTTTTAACATGGGAGTCAATGAGGATTTGCTCGCTTCTGACACCAGCCCCCAGCGGATGAGGGTCGAACTGCAATTTTTGTTACTTCCGGGATTGCTTCAATTTTTCACCCGCATTGTGGGGGCTTGCTCTAGACGAGTCCCGTTAGCATGACTGCAGCAAAACTGCTAACCGTGTTATCTCTGGTAAGGAAAGAAAAAGTCCTTTGGGAAAGCTATGACACACACACACACACACACACACACACACACACACACACAGATAATCTAAAAGATGATCTCTATATTTCAACATTAGAACCTCCATGACATCCTGGATTAGTGCAAACAATGAACTGAGCAAAGGAGTTACTCCAGCATCAGGAAGATTTATTCTGGTAAATTGTCGGTTAAATATTTTCCAGAATTATATCAATAAATACACACAGCAGTAAAACTGTAGATTATTGAACTATATTGGGACACATGATGGAGTTAAGACCAGTTGAGAATTTGTCAGCTTAGAGCTCCCAGTGGAGCACAGAAATGAAATATTTAACAAAAGTAAAAAAAAACTACCAATTTTGGTTCTGATGATGAACGGAATCCTCCTCTATGTCCAAATCGGGTCGCAGGTCTTCTGAGTCAAACGGTCTAAAACATGTCAGCACCTCTGGTAGTGATATCCAGCTGGCGGGGTCGGAGTTCCGTTGAACGTCTCCGGTAATCCAATATCCGTTCTCGTCGCCGTTTCCCAGAGAAAAAACAAATCTGACCGACTAGTAGAGGCTTCAGAAGCTACATCTGATTGATGACACAATGTTCTCTGCTATAACGCTAACGCAGCAACACCGGAGTCAGGCGTTGTTTACTACAGCTGTTTCAGCAGAGCTCCTTGTGAAACGTCACCAGCTGCCCAGGGCTTAGACCAGAAGTTAGTTTCTGTTTTTCCCGCGCCGGTCACAAACATCAGATTTTCTTACAATTCCAGACGTCAAAATCCAAAATCCTTTTTCATCTGAGGTTTTAATAAACATTTACACATGCTGTTCAAACGAATTTTGCCTCTGGCCGATATCTTTAAATGAGTGAGTGAACCCACTACCAAGGATGAACTCTGCTAACTTTAAAAATCAGCTGCTCTAAATAAGCATGAAGGTCAGAGAGGAGCTCTAGGATGGACATGGATAAAGGAACTGTAATGTAGAGGTAAAGTAGGGCAGGGCCAACGTTAGCAGCTGTCATACAGTCATTTGAAATGTTTGACTTTTATTTAGCTTGTTATGTGACAGATTAGAGCACAGTCTCATGTTAGAGTTTTGTCATGAAAACATTGCGATAATTCATACTGATGGCATCTAAAAATTAACTTTTTTTTCAAAATAAAGAATAATTTTAATCACAATTGAAACGTACCATCCTAGAAAAACCTCGTCCAATCAATGTGCACGTCCTAAACTCACTGATTGGATAGAAATCCTTCCATTAAACTGTGTGTATCCGTGTGTGTGCGTGCACACACGAGCGTGTTGTGAACTGGTGTTGTGGTTTTGCACTGATGTAACGCTGACAAAAATGTAACTAAGTAACTTTTACTTAGAGTACATTTTATTTACGATACTTTTTACTTTTATTTGAGTAAAAATTGAGGCAAGTACTTTTACTTGTACTTGAGTAAAAAATTATCAAAGTACTGGTACTCGTTCTTAAGTAGGACATTTTAGTACTCTTTCCACCTGTGGAAAAAATATTGTTTTATCAATTAGTCACACTGCTCTAACTACACCACAAATACTCGTGTTTACATGTTTTAATCAGTGGTTTCATACAAATATTTTTAAAACTTACCAAAAGTACTCCCTCTCATCTCCAACATAGGAATATTTCACCCGTTTAGAGACACGTCTACCAGGTTGGGCCTCGGTCAGCCTCTTGCTACAGCAGGTGAGTATTATGGTCCGTCCAGCCACAGCTGCCACACCCTCCACCATAACACAGTTGATCACACACTCCCCCTGGTGGTGGAGAGCTGGTTATATTCTGGGCTTTCTGAGTTTGTTTTTTCATTATTTTCTTATTTATGTTTTGATCATAAAGGAAGGCTTCCGATGATCTGATTTTTATGTTTCACTTTTCAAGCTTTTTGTTCTGCTGGATTTATGTTTTTCAAGGATTCAAAAATAACTAAATTTCTCTCTTAGAAGTGCAGTAATACAGAAACATTTTAGGCGATTGAATTCACTTGACTGTACAGTCCTGATTTACAGATGTAAATAAAGAAATTATTCCAGTTGTCACAAAATGCTTTATTTTTTAACAACAGAATCCATGTTTCTAACTACAGTTCACTGAAGTACTTCTGTGTTAACCTTAACCCTCTTCCTAAGGGGAACAGCCGAGTGCAATTTTCAAACTTTCTACAGGCCAGCGTCCAGAAACAAGGAGGCTCAGTCAGCAGTCTTGAAGACTGCCATCAAGGTGACTCTGTAAATAATGGTCTCATCACCCTTTATAGTAAGAGTCACACATCTCTGTAGCACCTCAAATGGCTGAAACACACACACACACACACACACACACACACACACACACACACACACACACACACACACACACACACACACACACACACACACACACACACACACACACACACACACACACACACACACACACACACACACACACACACACACAGTGAATGAAGACTTTGACCCTAAAACCACTGAAACACAAAAGTAAAAATGACATTTTCTCTTCTCACAACACAAAAACATTTGTTTTTGAAACTTTTTCCATGATAAAACTTGGGCTTATTTGGCTGATCACTGTAAGATCAATGATCTGTCCCTTACCTTGTGGTCTTTTCTGGGAGTCCAGGTGATGGTGACAGCACATTTGCCGCCTGCCTCCACACTGCCTCTGATAGGCGTCACTGTGAAGCCCTGCTGCTCCAGTGGTTCCACGTTATCCCAATAAAACTCAGCTCGCTGGAAAAGCACAGAGCGGAGAATTTGGTAAAGATAAACACCGCTCTGTTCTGTAACAGCTGCTTCCTTTTCAAGCACCAGAATGCAGCTATTAAAACTCTGTCGGCCTCTCATCATCCCAGTACCTGGACTTTGGTGTTTTTGGAGCAGATGCAGCCCACATGCAGCTCCCTGACTCCAGGTATGATGACACCTGCCTTGTGGCTGGCGCGCAGGGTCACCAGCACCGGGATGCTCGGCCCCTCCGTCAGCTCTGACTCTACAAGTTTTGCAGGTTTCAGCTCTTTCATTACAAATCATTTAAACTTTTAGTAACCACCCGCTGATTCTGTTGACACAGATCAGCTTGCTTGCATCCCATGTAGCCATTACAAACAAATTATAATTGAATTTGCACAAACCTGGCGAGTTATTTTATCAAATCACAATCTTGAGATAACGATGTGAGCTGTGATACCTGTGAGGTGAGATGGGCAGAAGATGGATGAGGGGACAAGAGACTCAGTAGGCACTGTCCGCAGGTCTCCTCCATGCAGAAACATGTTGTGTGAAGAGGCTGCACCCTTGAGACTCATCACACACACTTCACTCTGGAAGACAAAGAAGACACATTCAAATGAGGACATATGGGTCTGCATCACCTCCTCACCATCCTCACCACAAAGCTCTCTCAGCTCACTGTTTCCCCTGCCATGTGTCAGTGGATTTCCAGCTTCCTGACAAATAGGAGCCAGCATGTGCGGTTGAACAACGTTACGTCTGGCACAAGGTTGATCAGCACCGGTGCACCACAGGGGTGCGTCCTTTCTCCACTGCTCTTTTCTTTGTACACCAATGACTGCACCTCTAAGGACGCAGCTGTTAAAATCCTGAAATTTGCAGATGACACCACTGTCATTGGGCTCATCCGGGATGGTGACGAGTCTGCTTATCAGCGAGAAGTTGAGAGGCTGGTGGTCTGGTGTAGTCAGCACAATCTTGAGGTTAACACCCTTAAGACTGTGGAGATGGTCATGGATTTTAGGAAGCTTCCCACAGTGCTGCCCCCCCTCACAATATCCAACAGCCCAGTGCCAATGGTGGACTCATTCAAGTTCTTGGGAACTATCATTTCCAGGGATCTGAAGTGGGAAACAAACATCAACTCCATCCTCAAAAAGGCTCAGCAGAGGATGTATTTCTTACAGCAACTGAGGAAGTACGGCCTACCACAAGAGCTGCTGATCATCTTCTACACTGCTGCAGTCGAATCCATACTTTGCTCATCCATCACTGTCTGGTTCGGGTCAGCCACAAAAATGGACAAATGCAGACTACAGCGTATTATTAAAACAGCAGGAAAAATCATTGGTGCCCAACTGCCCTCTGTCCAGGAACTGTACATCAGCAGGACCAGGAAAAAGGCAGTGAATATTGTCCAAGATGCCACACATCCTGCATCTACTCCCTTCCATGTCCTCCCATCTGGCAGACGCTATAGATCGCTGTACACAAAAACTACCAGACACAAGAACAGTTTCTTTCCTTCAGCCATTTCTCTCCTGAATCTGTAGATCCTTTAGCATCCTTTTATTTTAGTTTTTAATACTTATTCAGTACGCTTATGGATGTGTGTGTGTGTGTATACATATGTATGTGTGTGTATGTGTATGCATATATGTATATATGTGTGTGAGCAAATGTACATGTTCTTATGTGTTTTTTTATGTATTTTTATTCTCATTTATTGTAGTTGTTGTATGTTTTAGAGAGCGAACATCTACCGAAGATAAATTCCTTGTAAATGTAATTTTACTTGGTCAATAAATCTGAAATCAAGGGCAACACTTTTTCTGGATCATGTGATGACTTTTCCAACTTCTGATTGGAGGTAAAGACATGGGTAAAAGTGTGTGTCTATGTGTGAGTGCTTGCATGTGTGTGTGTGTGTGTGTGTTTTGCTAACCTTATTTTTCAGTTCTACAGTGAGTTTATCAGAGTAGTTGACAGATGGATGGTCAGGCTGGAAAGTGATGGTAATGTCTTGCTTCTTTCCAGGAGCAATGCTGCCCTCTACTGGTGTCACACCGAACACACTCAGACCACTGTAGTTCTGGGTTCCTGTAGGACAGAGGTTCTGCAGCTGCTACTGTTTCTGCTACAGCAGACAATACAATCTATCAAATACAATAATGAACAAAGGGGAGAGCACGTAGCAAAATGTAGTTTGTTCAAGAATGGGCGGAGAGTAGCACCCAGTAATTCTGCAACTAACGCCCGGGTCACACAGCAAGATAATTATGCAGATTTTGGACCCGATCCTCCTCTCACACAATCTTAAGGATGTGCATGCTTACTGTAATTGCTCTAAGAATAATCTTATCAGATATTCCTGCCATGTGTGGTGTGTTAAGAGCGCTGCGGTCCACTTGAAAGGATGTGGGGACCACTCCGATCAGGAATTTTAAACGTGTTAGATTGTCTTGGTCTGATTTTCAAGGACAAACAAATGTGCTGCCCGTTGACTGTGGCATGCAGCCAATCAATAAGCAATGTAACGGAATCGTGCTGCACGCCCTTCCTCTACCACGATTGTTTACTTGCAAGATTTCCCATATGACTGAGGAACGTTGGTGTGTAGTTTGTTGTTTGGCTGCTGTGGGACCAAACAGTTATAGCCATGAACTTTTATCTCTGAATGAGGGGTCTCTCATGTTTAGAAAACTGGCCAACAATTTTAAAATCCTGCCAGGTAAACCGGGCCTTAAAGATGACCAAAAACATTCTTGGGTGGGTCCGTGTGATCTCAACATGTCGTACACGAGGTCACATCCACTCAGAACCTGGCTTTTCCACTTGATAGTCTGAAACTTTCAGATTTTGGTTTCTCATTTAAAAACAAGTAGCGCATCAAGTAATCAATCACAACTTTAGTTAAACCAACTTATTTAAAAACCTTCATATCTTTGAAGATTAGTCTAAAACTTGGTAATTTAGCCTCTGCCGTCAGGACGAACTTAAGGAATTTGGGTGTTATTTTTTAATGATCTATGTCTCTTGAAAGTCACTCAAAAACATTGGTCCGAAACAGTTTTTATCATTTAAGAAATATCTCCAAATTGCAAAGGTTGGTGTCAAAACATGAACTTGACATGGATATCCATGCCTTTATCTCCTCCCGTCTAGATTACTGTAACACACTTTTCACATGTTTTAACAAAAAGCCCTTGAACGCCTTCAGTTTGTCCAGAACTCTGCAGCGAGGCTCCTAACTGGACCAAACAGAAGAGCTCACATCACTCCTATTCTGATGTCTCTGCACAGGTTACCCGTCAACTTTAGAGTTCATTCTAGAGTCCTGATTATACTTTCAATGCTCTACATGGTCACGCTCCTCCCTATATTACTGAACTGTTAAAGCCTTATGCTCCAACCCAGCTCCAACCCAGCCCTCAGGTCCACCCACCAGAACCTAGAAGTTCCAAAGACCAGATATAAAAGTCGAGGTGATCGCTCCTTTCAGACTGTTGCACCCCGACTCTGGAATGATCTTCCTTTATTCCTACGTAGGATTCAGTCTGGATACTTTTATAAAACCCTTCTATTTAAAGATGCTTTTACCTAAATCTTTTATTTTCTTATTTTTAACTCAAACTTGTCATCTTTCATCTGTTTATGAAATTTTATAATTTTATGACTTTATTTTTTCTGATGTTTATCTAATTCTGTTTTGAGATCATTACTTTGTTTTATTTTGTTTTGATCTATGTGAAGCACTTTGTGATTCTATATCTGTGATAAGTGCTATATAAATAAAATTTACTTAATTACTTACTATATATTTGAGGATTAGCCAAAACATATAGGTTCCAACATGATTGTATTTACTGAGCAAGCCTTCTTCTCATCAGCCTCTTGTATTTTCGAAGCGTTTTGGTTTATTTTAAATGCATCTGGCAACGATGACATCATGCCAACTGGTCAAATTGGGCTTTAGCTTTAATTATCACACTCTAACATTTAACATCTTACCCACACTGGGCTGAACCTGAGAGCTTCTGCTTCCACCCAGCAACAGTACTCTGTCAGAGTCCATCTGAGTCTTAGAAGGACACAGACTGTCCAGCAGCACTCTGAAACCCACCGCCACCTTCGATTTGTTCTGTAACTGCAAGCAAAAGGCCACTTTAAACCAGCAGGAATGTTGTCACCATTACAAGAATCACCACAGCAGCACTGATTTAATAAAAAAAAAATCTTCCAGATGAACAGGATGCAGCCGTTTTCACGACCATATTCCTGTATTTTTGGCACTGTCAGTGGGTGACTGACCTGCACACACTTTGAGGTGGTCTCCTTCTCCAACACAAAGCCAAAGTCAAGAAGACTTCCTGTGTGAGAGGAGGTGATCTCAGGAAGTACACCCTCCCCACACAGACTTATTTCCAAGTCCATTTTAAGACTTTGTATCTCCAGGATTTCATAGTGCTAAGGAAGTAAAGGCAAGGTAGTGTCATATTACTGATGTTTTATGTGGGTTTGCTCTCATTTTTAATTAAACAATATTAAGTAGTGCATTTTATTGTCATCCACCTTTTTCCCCAGAGTTGGACTGAAGGCAAGTACCAAAGTGTGCGTTTGTCCAGGATGAATGCATCTTAGAGCATTGACGAGAGAAAAGGGACCAGTTGTGTCCAAAATTGATGACCTCAGCTTGCAAAACAGTCAAAGAAAAATAAAGTTCCAATGTTTACCTCCTTATCAGACAGACGTAAATCATTAAGTGCACTTCTCATTTCTCAGAAGTGTGCACAGATATGTTTAGAAGAGGTTTCTTCTATAACTATTGTTGGTGAAAGGATACATCCAGCGATTCATTTGAAATGTTCTTAATTATCAACCTTTGAATTATTCTCTCCCCTGCAAACAAACATAGACAGTCAGTCAGGGAGCAGTCTGAGAGCAAATGTTGCATTTCCTTTTGATTATTTTCTTACCCACAAGAACTTGGTGGAAGTCCACGACATTATGGCCATTATTGGACACCACCACTAGAGGGGGCTGTACAGCAGGACACTGAAGCTTCAGGTAGAGAGTATTTATGGGACTAAAACACAACAAGTGTTAAAATGATAAACTGACAGATGCAGTATGTTATTTACACGCTTTGATATTGATTTTAATGTAACTGGAGTGAAAGACAAATGAAAAAATTATTTTTGAATATTTGAGGTTTTGCACACACCTTATCCTAGATGTGTGTTTTTTTATTACCACTTTACCAAACTAAATAATAATTTTATGCAGGATTGCTCTTTCTGAATTATTCACTGCAAATGAAAAACAAACAGATGTGACAGAAAATCATATAAAGGACTGACCAACACTTTCGCAGCTTTCACAGTGATTCCAATTTGTGGTGCAGCAAAGAAAAGGGGTTTTAACGAGAAAAACTCCTCTGGGATCAGATAGAAATGATAAATGGCCTATATTTGTATAGAGCCTTCTTAGGGTTCTGCAACCCCCCAAGGCGCTTCACAACACAATCAGTCATTCACAAATTCACATGCTGCTGGTGAGGAGCTACAGTGTAGCCACAGCTGCCCTGGGGTGCTCTGGTGTCAACAGTCCCTTCGACCACCACCAGTAGACAAGGCCGGTTAAGTGTCTTGCTCAAGGACACAACAGCAGCCTTTTCTTGTGGGAGCTGGGATCGGACCTGCAACCTTCTGATTACTGGACAACGCGTTCTACCTCCTGATCTACTGCAGTCCCAAAAACATGGATGTAAAAAATGATTGATGAAATCTGAAAAGACCAAGTCATTTTCAATTGAAAATATGTCATAAACAGGGATATTTAATAAAAACTTTAGTGTTTTAAAGCCCTGCAGTGTTCTTCACTGATTCAATAGAACATATTTTAAAAAGAGATAAAACTGATTAGTTTGAAGCTGTAATGGATATAAAAATAACAACACTGCTCTTTTCTGAAAAACCTCTGCAGGTTAGTTTTCCCGAGTTTTTACCTCCATGGTGGTTGAATCTGTCTGTCTGTCTCTGGAGGGTCTCCATCTGACACGAAGCAGGGGATGACCAGCTCTTTGTAGCTCTGAGTAAAGGAGCAGAGCAAAAAGGCCTTGGCCTCTTTGTACTGCTCTGACCTTAAATAAAATCATTAAAACATAATCACAAACTGGGAAACTTCAATATTTCATCCTAGAATGTATACCTACTCAGGATGTATGTTGACAGGATCAGGATTTTTGGTCCTAATGGTTTTTGACACCTTTCTGTCACTTTGATTCACCATCAACTTTTTCCATTTGCTGTGTACAACTGGGCTCTCCTGTTTAGGGATGGAACACATGACAACAATGCAAGATGATTGAAGAGAGTTGCAGAGCACCAATACAGTAAAAAGTTCAGCAGAGAAAGAAAAAAAATCACACTTGGCTGAATTTAAATCCATCAGGAACATTTTTGCTTTTGTAACATTGACCAGCTTGCATGACTCAGACACAAGGAGTCTGAAGCTCTCCTGCTTATGCTCCTTATTTTCATTATTCGTTTTTTTCCCCCAGTTCTGAACACCACAGATAGAAAGAAACACAAAACAGTATGTAGAGCAACAACTCAGGTCTGCAGAATGAGCTCAAGGCAGAACTCCACAATCAACATAATGGCTCTGGGGCAGAACCACTTGGGTACATCCACATCCCAGTTCAAGACAGGTTTTCACCTCCGAACAGGAAGGTTTTCAACAGGAAAACTCCGTCTTTAAAAACTTGTCACCTTTTCTTACACTTCAGTTTTATTTATTTTTTTTGTTTAGGAATCTACAAAACTGTGTCAACTCATATCCTAATGAGACCAGACTGCTAATGTTTATTGCTTAAAGTTATGACATGTTTTTTGTATAAATTATTTTGGAGTAACAAAAGTTGACACGAATAATAACTGACCTTTAAAAGTGCAATATGTAAGAATTAGGTAAGAATGACATCCTGTGGTCAAATTTGGTTACTGCAGTCAATTATTTTAAACAAAAAGTTACTTTCTCACTGCCGCTCCGAGCTCCGCCAGTCACGGATCAGTGGCAGAAGATTCTACAAGTGAAGACGAGTCATACACAGTAAGTTAATAAGTAGATAAATATATACACAAATACATTTCACTGTAATATTGAGTTGTTGGTAATTGAGATATCAAGCATTAGCATTGTTAGCTCAATGTTAGCCTCTAGCTTGCTTCACCCGATATTAGATGTTGTGGCTTCTTAAATATATGGTTCAATCATTTAATCAATGCATTTGCAGTGGTCTCTATTAGGAATGTAAGTCATACTCTAAAGAAGTAGCACCAGTGTGCCGGTTTCAGGAACTAGAAGTGAGCCACATCAGGGCTGAGCTTTGAACAACTTTAGAGGCTTATTTGTGGCATCTTGCCTCTGAATGAATAACAGCAGCATGACTCTACTAAAGACTGTTTGTTTTTAAATGTGGATGTTTTATCTCCGCAAATAACACAAACCTGAAGGAGTTGTCATGTGATGGAGTTGCTAATGCTAATGCTAACGGTTAGCATCTACTAGCCAAAACGTTATATGTTTTTTCCCGGACTCTAAACTAAAAACAAATTTCCCCGTCACGAGTCAAGATGGGTGAGTCCGTGAATGTTAAGTGACAGTAAGACGTAGATCTGTCAGGCTTTTCAGATCCTAAAGTTTCACCGTCTATTTTCTATCAGAAGCTAAAGCAGGAGATAGATGTAGGAGACAATGTTCATGTGCAGTCTGCATGAAAAACTCAGAGTGACAGATTATCATCAGAAATAATAGTAAAAGACATTTTTTTTTCTGCGAACCTTTAAGGGTACAAGAAATAACTTCTGGGTTGCTCCAGATTACCGGCTTCAATTTTTTAAACAATTCTGGAGCCTTTTGCTTGACAATGCCCAATAGCAAATGCTGGTGCTGTAGCTTTACCTTAGTGCTAACTCAGCAGTCCCATGGGCTCACAGACAAAGACCCTATTTGGCCATTTTGAAAGGAGACAAACTGACAACCCACAACCAGCTAAGAAGGACATCTGTTTCAATGTAACCTTCCTTCCAACATGACTGAGACATTAGACTGGTTTGTGATTATTTCACTGTAAAATTCATACATATTGCTCTGTTAACCATGTAAAATAGTTTGCATTTTATCATAACAGATTAAGAGTTCCTCCAGAACAAATCTAGCCTAGCCTGCCAGACTCCTCCTCTGTTTAATTCTGCACAGAGAAAAGGTCTGGGAACTCTCCTATTCCAATAACCCCACCCCCTGAGAATTCTAACCGAGCCAATCAGCGCTGAGTAGCGTACGTCACACACCACAGCTCCGAGTTTGTCAAAAACATGGCGACTGAAGCGGAGTTCGTTGCGGCTCTTTCCTCTGTTCTAAATGACTTGGACATGTCTTTAAAACAACAAGTAGAAGCGCTAAAAGCTTTTCTTCCAAAGAAAGATGCTTGCGCTGTCGCCAGACGCCATTTTTGACTACAGCTAAAAAACTACAGCATCAAGGACGTCACACACAGCGACGCTCAGTTTCTCATAAACAACGAAGACAGCGGTGGAGTTCGCTGTGGCTCTTTCCTCTGTTCTAAATGACTTGAGTGTCTTTAAAACCACAACTATCACGCTGTGAGTTGGGGGAGATTAGGACCCAAGATGCAGTAACCAGGATGACACGAGGCAGGAGTTGTAGAAAAAATGTAAAGTCCTTTATTAGGGATAACTGTCCAAAGTAAAAACTCCAAAAAGGGCAGGAGGCCAAAAAACATAGATCCAAAATCCTAATGCGTAAAATCCTAGAGACCTAGAGCTCCTTTAAAGAGCAGACCTGGAGGTATCCAAAAACCGAGAGAAAGGGAGAGAGAAAGAGAGAGAGAGAGAGAGAGAGAGAGAGAGAGAGAGAGAGAGAGAGAGAGAGAGAGAGAGAGAGAGAACGAGAAAACGCTGACACAAACAGTGGACTGACAACATATTGAGACGCAGACAGGGTTTTTTACACAAAGGGAAACAATCAGGGAAACAGGTGACAGGTGTGGGGAGTAATCAGAAGGGATCAGGTGAGACCAATTAAGTGAGTGGGGGAAAACTGACTAGGTAAAATAAATCGACAGATGAGTGAACTCCTAGAACCTGAAAACAAGACACCAGAAGAAAAACACCAACAGGGATGGGATTACTACATCAGAAAACACTACGGAGGGAACCTGAGGGAAACCTGGAGGGAGCTAGAGACCTATAGGGGCACATAAACCAAAGAAGAACACCTAAGGGGAAAACCTGGAGTGGGGGCTGGGGAACACACGGAGACACATAAGGGGAACCTAGAGAGGGATGGAGAACACAAGGAGACACATGAGGGGAACCTAGAGAGGGCTGGGGATCACAAGGAGACACATGAGGGGGACGCAGGACGTAGACCATGACAACAATAAGTAGAAGCGCTAAAAGCATTTCTTCTACAAAAAAATATGTGTGTGCCGTTGCCAGACGCCATTTTTGACTACAGCTAAAAAACTACAGCGTCATGCGGTACAGTTGGCATTTCCGTCTTTTTTCTGATTGTTATTTTTGAGCTGTCTAGTCCCGCCCCTCACGTGCCTCTTTGCCTGTGAGTTACCAGACTCTTTCTATGTGCAGTATTAAACAGAGGATGAGTGTGGCAGACCAGGCTAGTATGAATCCACTAAACGGACACATTTAAGTTGCTATTAATTTCCCAAACAAAAAACGTTTGAGTTGATTGTTTTTAATTTAAGTGGCTAAAGTCCAAAAAAAGAGTATTGAGTCTCTTAAATATAAAACAATATGCTGCTGCCAAAAAAATTGACATTTAAAAATGGGGGGAAGCACAGCTGAAGGTGACTGGGAGGGTGGGTATGCAGTTGTACCTCCTGATCTGTGACTTTACCTGAGGTAGGCGACGCCGAGCCTCTTCTTTGATCTCATCATCTGAAAGTCTGGGTCTGAATGTCACAAGTACAAGACATCGCTACATCGGGAGACAAGACCATGATTGTTGTTTAGATTTATTATTACATCAACATACACATTAAATGGTGTAGCAAACGTTAAACTCTGATTGGTTAAATTAAGTTTAATTTTAAATTCATTTGATGAGGTTTCCTGCTTTGGTTTTGTTTAATCATTAGCTGTTTAAGAGTGTTTGGATAATTTCTATTAAATCCATCCATCCATCCATTGTCTGAGCCCGCTTTGTCCACGCGGGGTCGCGGGGGGGCTGGTGCCTATCTCCAGCGGTCAACAGGCAATCAGGCGGGGTACACCCCAGACAGAGAGCCAGTCCATCGCAGGGCAACACAAAGACACACAGGGCAAACAATCACACACACACACACACACACACACACCTAAGGACAATTTGGAAAGACCAATCAACCTAACAGTCATGTTTTTGGACTGTGGGAGGAAGCCGGAGTACTCGGAGAGAACCCACGCATGCACAGGGAGAACATGCAAACTCCATGCAGAAAGATCCCAGGCCGGGAAGCGAACCCAGGACCTTCTTGCTGCAAGGCAACAGCTCTAACCACTGCGCAGCCTTCTATTAAATCATTTTGCTAAATAAAGTTAAAAAAGCTATGAATAAAGTAGCTAACATGAAATATGTAGTAGATATTTAAAATTTAAAACACTGAAATTTATAAAAAAGTTTTTATCAATCATAAATATAATAAACTTCAGGATTTGTTTCACAGCCAATCTAAGAAAAGAAGTTGCCCTTCACTTCCAGTAGAGTGCATCGATACGCTACGGAGGTTTCTGCTAGGTTGCTGCAGCTGCGTGTAATGGTGGAAACTGTTTAACTGGGCTGTAGATAAAAGACTTGTCTCCCTGATCCACCTTAATCACCACTTCTTTCTAGTAAATCTATTTCTATCTTGTTAGATTTGGTTTTATCATCCTGTAAAATGACAGGTTTTGTTTAACCGAGCAGCCTTTATGATTTGTGACAGAGGACTTCTTGGTGAACTGGTTTACATGAACGTGTAAACCAACTTACACATGTGAACATTTTATTTGGAAATGAAAGTATCAGAATAGCATCTTAGCTAATTTCCTGGTTTTTGTCAGTTGAAGGAGGTTCAGGACCCTGAGTGGTCACTGAAAAGTTCAGGAAACAGATTTTGCCTTTATGGGATGAACGCGTTGCCTCCAAGCCTGATTATGTCATTGTGGTTATTTCCTCTCAAGGCTCCTCCAGAGTCATAGAAGATGTTAAACAGTTGTTTTACTCCCCCAGGCTAGAAATGCCCTTTGCACGTCAGTTTGTGGACTGCCTCTAAACATATGAGTAAACACGAGAGGGAGGGGCCCTACTACACCTCTCCAGGAAGAAGACGTCCTGCTGATGGAGAGATGCTGATGTTGGAATCTTTCGGCAGAGTGAAGCAGAACAGCCTGGGTGCCTCAACAGTTGTAGCATCTTTGATCGGTGCAGTTGCTGTTTGTTTGGACTGTTGGTAGGTCAGGTGAAGCAGGGCGGTGGACTTGTCGCCAACAGCAGTAGCCCTGAACTGAACCAGTGACTGAGAGAGCTGCAATGGTGGGTGGAATGCCACGGCTCGGCAAAGCAACGGAAAATCTCTGATGACAAGAAAAAAAAAAGGTTTAACCCTTTGATGCATAATCACTACAGTGGACAGGTACTCAAAATTGGTATTTATTTATTTTTGCTATTAAGCACAGCTGTTGAAGACTTTATTGCATTTGAGCCCCTCCATTTGGACTTCAGTAAGTCAAGCCGACATATTTCATGTTCATAATGCACGCTGTCCACTGAGGTGGACATGTAATAAATCATTTGTAAATTAAATGTCACAAAAACTATGTAAATATGAAATTTGTTTCATTCACACCTAAAGATGAATGAAAAAAATTGTTAAAAAAATCATGGTTTAAGATTTCATAATTCATGCATCAGAGGGTTAATTGTTAATCAAGTTCAAATTATAAATGACTGCATGCATTCACACTCGGTAGGGTCACCTGTTGATCCCAGATTTACATATGAGTTGAAAATGGTGCTCCTTGGCTATTTTGGGGCTGAAAATCAGATCAAACTTCAGGGTCTCTTGTGGCAGCAGAGTACCAAAGCCATCATTAGGCCTGATCTTAATACACTGTTAGGTGAGAAAAGCAAAATAAACAAAACGTATCGGTTCAATCAAATACATATTTTATAATTATTTATTATCTGTTTTTATTTCCTGCATTTGATGAATTTCTGTTTGAACATGACAACAGTATCAAAGTGGTGAAAGCTTAGAGGAATCCCAGAAAACATGATATAAAAATGCCTTTTACCTAATCTGGTGATTTATTTAGTCAATGCCTAATCCCCTTTCAACTCTACAATATAAATAAAAACACACATAAATGACAAACTAAGTAACCAAAATCCCTCAGATTTCAGAATTGAAAGGTTAATCAAGAGCAGATTAGTAACCTCAGATTAACTATAAAGAGAGGTAATGCTAACAGTATCCTAATATATTTCAAGAATTTATGAAGTACTTCTGGAACACCCGGAAAGCCAAAGTCTTGAGGCAGGATGGACATATTAGTGAGGCAAACGCTGCTCCTGACTGGATTGTAGATAGAACAGTCACCAAAGTCCACTTCGGTCTGATCGAACTGCAGATCTGATGATGTCACAATTGCATAAACAGTAAAAGTGGCAGGCTGCACCTGAGAAAAACAGAACATGTATTTATTATTGTAAACACATGGCAGATTTAAGCAGAAAAATAAAATAATGGAGATTTTTATTCTAACCTGCCACGTTTTGCTTGTGTGTGTGCGTGTGTGTGCTTGTGTGTGTGTGTGTGTGTGCTCGCTCATGTTTGTCATCATCCACAATATTTTGTTTAATAATAAAGTCAATCCTAACCAAAAGATGGATTTTAATAAAACTCACAGGAAGTCTAATTTGAATAATTCCAATTGGATTACATTGGATTTATAAGTCAACCCAAGTCAAGATGATGGTCCCATTTATCTAAAATAGTTATAGCTGAGAATAGTTCCCAACACAAACACTGCTGTAATAACATAGGAGACTGAGTAAAATCAGCTAAAACTCCATCATTCCTAAGTGTGAGTTGATCAGAGAATAATTTCTTAAACAAATGAGATGGAAGTGCAAGGTGTGCTTCGACTACGACCTGTGCACTCAGTGTTACATGAACAACAAGCACGATCTCAGCCATCCCTTTGAACGTTACGAGACGGCGCACTCCCAGCCGTGAGTATCGAGGCGCCATTAAAAGCGAATGATTAGATCATAAATATGAGTATAGGTATTTATCTTTGAATGCTTTACAAATTATTAATACATGTTTATTTAGTATTAATTGAGGTTAAGTAAGCAATAAAACAGACCAGTTTCTTGCCAAATAATGAGCCAAATCTGTTCTCCTGTATATTTCACCTGTAACTGAAACATTTGAGACATTAACATGAACATAATTTAGCATAGAATAATCTACTTTATAAATATTAACAACTGTCAAAGGGAGCCATACTGTAAAGTGTAAAACATGGCACCATTAATTTATGGTCAGTAAACAACTGTAACTCTTTCCGGAACTGCGCTGCTCTGGGTGGCTGCATGTTGGAGTAGCTCTGTTGACTATATGTAAGTTTTGCCTTTTCTTGGGCATTTTTTCTTCTAGTTTCTCAAGAAAAACTGTATTTTTTGGACACTTTACTTTTCTGGTTCTGGTGCTGTGAAACTTGGAGGATTTTTTACTGCAATTTTTTTTTTAGCTTTTTTCACTTTTTGAGCATTTGTTATGATGCGTAACCATGGCAACAAGCTGCGGTTTACAATGGGGAGCAGCTGATTAACATTGGAAAGGCTGAAATAAGACCTCAACTGAAGCCACAAATCCCAAATGAGCTAAAACGCAAGAAGCGTGGATGCAGAGCGGGAGCAAAACGGAGACAGAGAAAGAGGAAATTCAAACCATCTCTTCCATCGATCACAATGGGCAACGTGAGATCACTGGCCAACAAGATGGAGGAACTCCAAGCCCTTTCAAGGACTCGGCCAGAGTTTCGGCAGTTTCGAACCGCTGGGGGAGATAATGCAAAGGAGGATTCTCCAGAGAATCAAGAAATTTATGGACAACCCTGAGCATTCTCTTCACAAGACTGTCCGACAACGGAAGAGTGTCTTCAGTCAGAGGCTTCTTCAGTTTGGCTGCAACACTGACCGCTACTGGAGATCCTTCCTGCCAACAGCCATTGTAATATACAACAACTCTTTGATGACTTGATTATTATTATTATTCTGAGCTACTACAGCTATCAATTTCCTTCTGGGATTAATAAAGTATTTTTGAATAGAATTGAATTGAATTGATAGTAGGTTTTGATCAGTAATAAAATTCTAAAAGGTAGGAAAATGAGCAGTTTACTGAAAATACTAATTCTAATAACAGTAGAGTCTGATGTATTGGTTTGATAGAAAAACAAAGTAAATATACAAATGTGTGCCCTACATTGTTTCTCTTCTTTTTTTTATGTTCTGAAATGGTGTTTTGAGTTCAGCAGAAGATCGTGCCACTTTTTGCCGTTGCTTTGCCAGCGGCTGCTGAGTCTGTTGACCAAACAGAGAGTGTGAATGTGTGCATTTTTGTGATTTAATGCCAGAAGCTTTGGTGCTTCCCATGAACATCCTGGCTTCTTCTGGTCAAAGCCACAACACAGTTAAATCCTGTCCTCCTCTTGCCCTTGTAGAGACATGAACTGTTGGACGGCTGTGGACGAAGGGGAAGGTGACAGTTCTGGCAACCAGGGAGACCAGATTTAGATTTACAGAAAAAGAGAGCTGGCATAAGCGCAGCACGAATGTCTCAGCAGCAGCAGCACCTCCGTCCCTTTAGTTTTTCTAGTAAAGCCTGCTGCTTAAATATTTCTAAAGGTAAGCTAAAAATAATATAAACTCAAATTTTTTAATGAGATGTTTTGGTTCAGGCTGAATTGCAAATTGAGCCCCTGGTAAATTTTCTACCACATGAGCCAGAAAACAGATGGTGGCTAAGTAAAATAAAAAGCCTGACCCCTACAGTTTAGGGCTCCAGTGGTGCTGCAGTATGGAGCATTTCACTGTAACGGCTTGGATCTGCCTGTTTATTAAAAAAAAGGATGGAAGAGGTTCCTGCTAATCCACGTAAGTTGTTCTGAACATTTACACCTATCCTTATATGAACATTTGTTTCATGACGATATTGTGTGAGATGACAGTGACGTGATGATTGGCCAGCTAACCGCGCTACATTAGTTCAAGTTAGCGTAAAAGGAATTAATTATTTAAGTGCCTTTGAAAAGTTTGGAAACACGTTCCCATAAAAACAAATTATTGCGAAGCATATGTTGGAAATCTGAGAGATGTTTCTCTAACATGAACAACAGCTGCAGCACGGCCCTGTCACCTTCTGCTGAAGCACCAGAAATATCCATCTAAATAAGTTTGTTTTTGATATTGTATTCAGTTTGTCCATCTATGTTTATGTTTATTTATTTGGCAGACGCTTTTATCTAAAGTGACTTACAATTTATAACCTATAGGGCATGTTGTGATCTGTGGGGGAAACCGGAGTACCCGGGGGAAACCCACGCATGCATGGGGAGAACACGCAACTCCACGCAGAAAGGCTGCAGCCGAGTTTCGAACCTGCGACATTCGTGCTGCGAGGCAACAGTGCTAACCACTGCGCCACCATGCAGCCCATCTAATTAAAGACTCTGTGAAAAAACACGTGAAGCCAAGAAATGGTGAAATTATTTAGACGATACTCAAACATCTAGCTAAATCTTCCAGACTGTTGGGTTTGGGAATACTGACTTAGATATATTAGATAAGAGAATAAGCTAAAAGTTCACAAGAAACCAAAAAAAAAAAAAAAAAAAAACCCAAAACAAAACAAACAAACAAACAAAAAACACCAAACATAAAAATTCTATTAGTGAATTAAAAAAAAAGCTCATTTTGTAGTGCTGACATAACTAATCCTTGCTCCATTTACTGCAATAGAAAATATATTTTTGGAATTTGAGTCGTAAACATTGCAAAATAAAACTATGGTTGATTTTATCATTGATATGTATGAAAAAAGCTCACAAAAAGCTTTTCAGTCGTGCAAAACGTCCTCAGTGCTGATTTGCAGGTTATTTGCAGGTCATATTATTGTTTTGATATTTAAATCAATCCATTAAACTTTAATTATCATAGAAGTTTGAACATAGATGAACAAAACTAAAGATCAAAGAACACATTTTAAACGTTAGCTTCTGTGGTTTCTCAAACCATGTTGTTTTTGCATTCAGGTCCAGATTTCAATGACAATTTTTTTTGCCTCATGAGGTTTTTGACTCCTCAGAAACCTCATGAAGACAAAGAGCATCACAGCAATTCTCTGCAAAAGAAAATGAAGTTGTTGTGTGCCCATTTTCAGCAAATGAAGCCATTTTCAGTGAAACAGTATGCGGTAACCTTTATGCCTGGCTTATTAGCGCCCACGGAGTAACTGGGCCTTGAGGGTGGGAGATAATTTTAGCTTGTTAATGCAAAATGGGTTACAACCTTCAGTGGCAAACTAGGACTCGAGCATAACTCTGTACAGTGAGTATACCATTCTGGAGATCACAGGAATGTTGACTCATGACATAAATTAGGTTTTATACATTAACAATATAAAGCACACACCTGGCCTGCTACTTTCACTGTCATTGGAACCTCCAGGACTCCTGTATCGTTGTCAAAATATTTCTCTGCATCTTTGGAAAGGGAATGCCTGTAAAAACAAAAAAAAGTGTGTCTTAACATTCTTTTTTATGCAAGAAAATACATTTTTATAGTCACCAGCAGAAGGAAGCACTAATCGAACACAACAATGATGTCAACAGATTTTTCTAAACAGATGTCAGATTTCAGCCGTCAAATGCTGAAAGCTGCTTTTGACTTTTGAGAGAAAAGGATGAAGATTCAGACCCTGAAGACCCGTTACTTTACTTTAACCCACGTCTGTAGGATCAGCTTGCCAGAGAAAGCAGGAGAAAGATGAAGAGTGCGCCTCCACACTACTGTAGGTTGTAGCCATGGTGATGAGAGATGTAAGTATGATTCAAAGAGGACCATGCAGTCATGCAGGCTTATGTAAAACTCTAGTTCCCCAGTATCACCAGGAGTCGAGAGCTACAAAAACACTACATATGTGTGTGTGTGTGTGTGTGTATGTTTCAGGTTCATATGTCAAATGCTGTTTGTCTGCCTTAGGTTCACCCCCACCCTACATTTGTACTGTTTTCTTCCCTTTGTTTTCCTGTATCTTACTTCCTTCCTTTCATTTTCAGCCATCAACTGTCCTCCCCGCTGTTCACTCATTTCACTCTTAATGCAAGCTGAAGGCTCGAGAGTTAATGCTGTTAATGTCGGTGGTTTAAAGCTTCTCACAGGTCAGAGTTGTGTAAAAACTAAATCTTTCCTTGACATAAAAGCTAATTAAAGGCAGTTTTGTTATTTCAAACTTACAAAACTACCCCATTACATCTTAGGTGTGTTCTTGCTGTGCCTTGTTTCTAATTCCATGCTGTCGTTCTGTTTTAAAACACAGAAACGGTTTCGTTACCTGTTTTTTCGTGTAAAACTTTGCCAAAAACAGGTAACGAAACCGTTTCTGTACCCCATTACGTCTAACATCCTGTAAGGTTCAGTTAAATTCCAAACCTATCAAAATTAAATCTCTGTATTTATAAAGTTGTTTTTTTTTCCTCTTCAAAGCTTGACAAATGAGCGCAGAGGGTATATTAAAGGAAGCACTCTTGTTCTGACTACTAATAGAATCGCTGCTGGAGAGTCACTCTTGAATTAGCTTGGCAGGGCAGAGTGGAAAAGCCTGGTGGGGTGTCGCCAGGCCCATATGCTCAGGAGAAATTTGTGGACGGATGAAGCTTCAGATTTGTCAGTGTCCTGAACAGATTTACGTATGTACTCTTCCTCTCGATAGCCAGCTTATCCACAGTAATTGTCCTTTTTAGTCTTTGATGGTACTGTATATATATATATATATATATATATATATATATATATATATATATATATATATATGTATATATATATATATATATATATATATATATATATATGAATGAAAAGGATTACAAAATGGATAAATGAGCATTAGGATTTCTGAAAATATGGGTAAAAATGACAGGAAGTGATCATGGTATGAATCCTAAAGGTCACAATAACCAAACCAGCTACTATGTTTGCTTGATTTTTGTTTCTGGTGCAGATGTGAGCAGTGTGCTAGCGGTAAAAAGCACCGGTAGAGCCGTTCAGCATAATCTGTGGTAAATCATGTTGTAATCTCCCTTTTATCAGCCGGAACTGCCGGGGTCGGACCCATGGCCTGCTCTTCAGAGATTACACCTAAAACCGCTCAGACAAGCAATCCTGTTCAAATGATCCTACCACCAGGATGACAAAACAAACAAACAAAAAAAGACAACAATATTTTTCAATTTAATGCAATTCAATTCAATTTAAAGATACTTTATTAATCCCAGGGGGAAATTAGAGAGGTGTGAATTAAAATTTGATTCTTGTGTTGACATTGAAATCTCTCATTGTTTCTGTTTTGTTAAATAAAGATTGAAAAAAAAGCTTGCAAACGCTAACCCACTCAAGGAGCAATGACTGACGGAGAGTAAGTTTTCATTGAGCTAGAACTGCTTGATCTTGAGGATTGAAAACTTTTGTTACAAGGAATTCAATTGGAGTGAAGGAGACAGCGGAGTTGGTGGAATGTATGTCTATTGACACCGCCGCTGTTGTTGGGCCAACCAATCACAGACGTGCGCTCTGCGCGATCAACAGATAGTTAAATAATTGGGCTCTCCTCTGTCCGTCCTTGCCTTTCAGACATCCCTTGTGTCGATGGTTAACGGTGATGTGTGTCTCCACACCTGTGCAGATGGAGAAGTATAAACTAGGCTCAAGAGTTATAAAATGATCCTGGTGAATGGTTTATCTGAAAACAGCAATAAATTATCAGGACGACATTCAAACTAAAATTGTACAAACCATGGATAATAAAAATAAAAAATAAGATTAAAAAAAACACAGGGTTCCCTCTAGGATGTGTTATTAGCCCTTTACTGTTCATTCTTCTGAATTAGAATGTGCTGAAAATTGAGCAAAAACAAACTACTTTTACATACTTTACCTGGGTAACAAGTATCACTTCCTGGTACGGAAACTGCAGTGGTAACGAGTCTAACATTTACTAAGAAAAGCTGAAAAAGTCACTGTGGATTAACTCTCCTTCCTAAATTCATACATTAAATCTGTATCTGTCTTACAATAATCCACAAAATAAAAAAAAATAAAAAACTCTAAATCAGAGCTTTACACACAAGCACAACAACATGAAGGAGAGGGATGTTAAAACTGATCAAGTCCATTTACCGATTCCTCTCATCAGAACACCAACATCGACATGTGTGCCACTGTTCTTGATGCCGTGGAGACGAAATCTCGGAGTATACAGAGCAACGTTGAGGATGTGTGAAGGAAAAGTGTGGGCTGGATGGTGACAAATAAAGGTGGAGGAAGACAGGCAGAGAGGGATGAAGCAACAGAAAGCAGCTGAACGATGTGGGCAGGTTGAATGCAAACCCTGAGAGGAGGAAGTGAGCATGTGCTCACCCTCTCCCAAAAGCCCGGGGAGGGCAGAGATGACACAAACACCTGTGCGAAGAATGAAAGCTATGAGTCACTTCAGAATCCAGATTTAATGTGTGTGTATGTGTGCATGTGTGTGGATGTGACAGTGGGTCGAGGCAGTGCAGATAATGAGGATTTGGAAATCCAATCGTGCTCCAGTTGGCAGTGCCATTTTAAATGACACACTGCCTCAGCATTAAACAACAGGAAGCCAAGCAAAAATCAACAGATTTGAAAAGGAAGATCCAACTATTTTAAAGACATACCAGGATGGCTGGCAGGCTGAAATATTCCTTTTTTCCATTTTAAATGCTAAAAGTGTACATTTCTGTTACGAATGACAGATGGGCTCCAATAGAACTTTTTTAAACCTGAATTTATGTAACCTCATGGTGTAGTTTTTTAGCATTATCATCACCGTCGGATCACAGATGGAAGATTTCAGTTTCCTGAACAACAAAATCCCAGACTATCTCTCAACCGATTAAGAGCCTAGGTGCCCTCGACATATGCGACCAGGCAGACTCGTATGCTGTTTCAGGTCTTAGCCCGCAAACCCAGAAGTTCATTCAAAGTAACATACTGCCGTTATTCCTTGAACACACAAAGACCATAACCTTTTAATCTGGATTAAAAAAAAAATTCTGTCACACAAATGGAGAAGCTCAACAATGACAGTCACAATAAAAGGCCCATTTATCCCACTGAGCCTTTCCAAACTGGAAACATGATTTATTCTCTTCTTTATTTGTAGGTTTTAGATCATTTGTCTAAAGGAAAATACAATACTGCCAAATAGCGTCTTTAAACAGTTTTTAATGTTATGGTTTCTTTTTTATTGTCAAAGATCCATGGGTCAACATGAACGTCATTCTGACGAAGCTTTAGGATCTGTGATAGCAGACACTGCATTTCACTTGTCTCCAGGCAAGAAAACCTCCCATTTCACAGCTGATCAGACAAAAGTTGAGTTTGAATTTTCAAAAACTTATCTGGACAAAAATGACAGCTATTGCCACTTTACTTGTTTAGTGGATGCTGAAGCAAACCCCCAACTTGGCAATTTTGGGAATTCATTTTAGAGCGAAAAACCTTGAAAATATCTCACACCAGAGCCGGAGGGAAGAAAATACCTTGATAATGAAAGTGAGTTAAAAAAAAATACTATCACTTTTCAACAATGTTCATCAAAACAATGAAGTCATCTATTGTCACAGGTCTGGCTAAAACCAGAGACCTACCTGAGCGTTTCAAATAACTCAAACTTTCATTCTGTAGACTCAGTGTCACACTAGCAGTGGGTACAGTGATTTAGATCAGGAAAAGGAAGGAAGAACATTTGATCACATAAAAGCAAAGTAGGGATGGTGAATCATTGGGAGCTATTATGAGTCGGCATACCCCCCCCGGAAGTAGGTAGCTGGGCCCCTGCATATAACCATATAAATCAGGTCTAAAACACATGGGAGCGTGTCTAAATCTCTGTATGATGCCATGTTAGATGCCATGTTTCCTTCTACGGGAGCCTGTAGGGACATATTCGTTTACTGATTTGTAACAAATGGTTACAAAGCTTTCATCTTTAATAAACGTTGTTGTGTGCTTGTCATTTTGCTGGAGGTTGTGCTCCCAGGTGTAACGTCACGAAATGGCCTGGTTTTCAGATCTCACAGGTCATGTGCACAGCCAGATCAAATAACCCTGGCAACGACACGTTCTGCTGTATCTTCCCTTGACAGGAGTCTGAGTCTGCACAAAGTCCCTTTAATCAGAAGACTTCACCAGCTGACTGCTGCTCCAACAGATAATAAAGATAAACAATAGTATGTTCTTTTCTCCAAGGTCCTTCACAGAGAACTCCTCTTAAATGAACTCTTTATTCCCAGAAGACAGAAGATTTTACAATTAAAAATAATCACTAAATATTGCCATGTATAATTATAAGCAATGAAATGTCCATGAATCTGTATTCAATGATGGTATATGGGCTCGACACACGGGAGGCGACAAACAACCGCGATAAGCAAAATTTGTCGCCATCGCTTTTATTACCTGACACACGGGAGGCGATCCGCGGTAGCGGCCAGCGGATTTGCCGTCTACGCGTTCTGTTCCATGGCGAAATCGAAACTTCTGTTGTTTTGTTTGGCTGCGCCAGGTTGGAGGGAATTAAGGTTATTTAAGCGGTTCAGAGTTAAAAAAGTGGTAGATATGATGTTTCACAAGGTGCTGCTAGAGCAATTTCACACGCACGTTTTTCGCGTTTCGCTTGGTAGGAGGGAGACCCGCGATTATCGCTTTGTCGCGCATGTCTCATTGAAAATGAATGGAGGAGAGGCGATGTCGCCTCCCGTGTGTCGAGCCCATTAGTATGTTTACTAGATGAGGTCATCACCATCTGCTCACACACCAGACAAGAAGTAAGGTTAAAATTAAGAACGCGTGACACATAACTAACCTTGTCCCTAGACTCAGAGACTCTGCGTCTCAGAGCGTGTGTTTCTGAGATTCTTGGTAACTTTCATAATAGATAACACCAGGATATATAAAGCAGCCGCTCTGCTTTCTCGTCAGTCGGAGAGGACATTGGAGACTGGCCATCTCTCTTAGCAGATCTTCAACCCAGAAAGGATTTTGACATGCTGTCAAAACCTTAAAGCTTTTTGCACCTGCGAAGCTGAGGACAACAAGATAGTTTTTCCTGCAGTACAAAGCTGACGCAAAACTCCTTCAGAGTTGTTTTTGAGATGCGTGGTTTTCAGTCAACTGTGTTGCTTGGAGCGCTCCTGGACTGACCTGGTCGTACTAGAAGTTGGTCTATGGACTTCTGCACTCAGGGTCTCCGACCCTTCCTGACATCTCGGATCCGCAAGGGCGTCTCCACTTGGGTACGTAGAACACAGTGAGATAGCATCTGTATGCAGTTCTACGGTATAAGAAACAACTTAGCTTATATCTCGTCTCGTCTTCCTCCGCTTATCCGGGTCCGGGTCGCGGGGGCAGCATCCCAACTAGGGAGCTCCAGGCCGTCCTCTCCCCGGCCTTGTCCACCAGCTCCTCCGGCAGGACCCCAAGGCGTTCCCGGACCAGATTGGAGATGTAACTTCTCCAACGTGTCCTGGGTCGACCCGGGGGCCTTCTGCCGGCAGGACATGCCCGAAACACCTCCCCAGGGAGGCGTCCAGGAGGCATCCTGACCAGATGCCCAAACCACCTCAACTGGCTCCTTTCGATCCGGAGGAGCAGCGGTTCTACTCCGAGTCCCTCCCGAATGTCCGAGCTCCTCACCCTATCTCTAAGGCTGAGCCCGGCCACCCTACGGAGGAAACTCATTTCGGCCGCTTGTATCCGCGATCTCGTTCTTTCGGTCATTACCCAAAGCTCATGACCATAGGTGAGGATTGGGACGTAGATCGACCGGTAAATCGAGAGCCTGGCTTTCTGGCTCAGCTCCCGCTTCCCCACGACAGATCGGCTCAGCGTCCGCATCACTGCAGACGCCGAACCAATCCGCCTGTCGATCTCCCGATCCCTCCTACCCTCACTCGTGAACAAGACCCCGAGATACTTAAACTCCTCCACTTGAGGTAGGACCTCTCCCCCGACCCGGAGGTGGCAAGCCACCCTTTTCCGGTCGAGAACCATGGTCTCAGATTTGGAGGTGCTGATCCTCATCCCAGCCGCTTCACATTCGGCCGCGAACCTACCCAGCAAGAGCTGAAGGTCAGAGCTGGATGAAGCTAGGAGGACCACATCATCCGCAAAAAGCAGAGACGAGATTCTCCTGCCACCAAACTCGACACACTCCACACCACGGCTGCGTCTAGAAATTCTGTCCATAAAAGTGATGAACAGAAACGGTGACAAAGGGCAGCCCTGGCGGAGTCCAACCCTCACTGGGAACAGGTCCGACTTACTACCGGCTATGCGGACCAAACTCACGCTCCTCTGGTAAAGGGACTGAATGGCCCTTAACAGAAAGCCACCCACCCCATACTCCTGGAGCGTCCCCCACAGGGTGCCCCTGGGGACACGGTCATAAGCCTTCTCCAAATCCACAAAGCACATGTGGATTGGTTGGGCAAACTTAGCTTATATGCAAACCAAATTCTCTTTTATCCAGAACGCACCTCTCTGAAGATACGGAGATTCTGATTCACCATCTCATATTCACACAATAGGTTCAGGCACCATTTTAGCTCCATCCACCCACAGTAAATAACAGTTAAACCATCTGTCAAGTCTTAATTGTCTGTAAAATAAATTCTTATCGTATTTGCAAATCTGACTGGTTCTTGAATCATAAACAAAGTGTTTACAGTCCCTGAATGAACAAAGAATCTTCTGCCTAATCATCTTAAAGACCAAGCAGGTGATATTCTATAATTAATAGAGTATCACAGCTATGGGTCACAAGTAATGAGAATAAAAATAAATAGCTCTAAGCAATTTATTTATCCAGTTACCCTCTATTTGATTCATTACACAGGGATTTTTGACCCTAATGGCCATCCGTTGGTAAGGTCTTACTCAAACACAAAAAGTAATGCTTGCTTGCAATGATTTGGGTATGTACTGTCGTCTATCACCAGGGAAAATACACATTGTCACTTTAAATGTTTTGTCAAAAAAGGCAATAATTGTAATTGCCTCGGAAATTGACAATCCTGGCAAACCTCCTCCAGTCATTGTAAACATCCTGCTCTTAATGACTGAATCGTGCCCCTATGTGCCTTATTTATGCACAGAGGGGGGGGGACAATACTAAGGCCTTTTAGTTGTGTGGATCATACTTTCCGGAACAAACATTTCTGTCAAAGCAAAACAAAACTCTAAGACATTAATTTTGACCTACAAATGCTTTCGCTATTGAAACAATCCCACTCATCAAAGCAAAACTATTAGTGCTAAAGAAAAGGACCTCATAAGGGACGTGCAGAGGGATGGGAGAGGTTTGACAATAACAGAGTGAGGCAGAATAAACATGAAGTCTAGGAGAAAAATGGAAGCATAGTTAAACAGAAAGGTGAGAGGTCAAGAAAATGAGAAGTACGTGTGAGAGAGTGGGAGAAGACAGCACAGAAGCAGAAAAGAGACCCAGAGAGGGAGTAGGGAGGGGGTGGAGGCTGTAGTTATGTTGGCGCTTGTGAACGATGCACCATGTCAGCAGCAGCAGCATCAGCAGCCGCACGAGTAAAGCTGTAGTCTAATCCTCACATTAAAACCTCGGCTGATTCACTACGGGAGATTACCAAACATTTTCCCACATTCCTTCCTGATCCCTCTACTGTACATGCCCCAGACATTTTTGTAATAAAGAGAAAATTCTCCCTCGCTAATTTTTTAAACATCAGCCCAGCTATCGACACGTAGAGCCGTTAAACTGCGAAAGGAAAAAAAAAAAAAAAAAGACAAACAGTGGGCAGAGAAGCGCCCACACAAAGGTTTTACATACTGCACGCCTCTCACATTCGCCCTGGGGGTCCCCTGGCCGCTCTCCTGCTTTCAAATCGCAGTTCAGCTCCTGCCTTTCCGTCTAAATATAGATTCTGGATTGTTGTTGAAAGAATTACCGGGTCCTTCAAAGTCATTAGACACCATTATCAGGAGACTTGATGCCACTGTGCTCAGACTGTAGATGTAATGAAACTCTTTAACCCACTGGCTGTAGACTGGGAACAAATATTAGCTTTTACAACTGTGTAAGACACAGCTTTCTCTCCAAAACAAAAGCTAGTGCAGCGATATTCGAGAGTTTAGTTACTATTGCATGTTTGTTCTTATATTGTGCGTTTCAGAGACTGCTCATTCTTCTCCAGCTCTTCATGCGGTCATCAGGACCTGGTAATTCTTTCAACAGACCTTTTTGGCTACGTGCTGCCATCTCTCCCTCGCTTGTCATCATGTGAACTCCTGAGATCACGCACGGTGTTGCAATTCTAATGGTGATTTCAGGACCTTGTGGGACCAGATGCTTGGAGTGCTTTCGCTGCAGTTTAGTGTCTGAAACGCTCCTGGTTAGAAGGGAGCTTGCAGGTAAAACACATCTATTACATTAAGTTCTGCTTACACATCCAGTGGAAAGCCGGGGTAAGACTGAGGATCAGTAAGGTTACAGGTATACCTTTAATAATAAAGTGCGTGTCATCAGAGGCAGGGCCTTAGAGCTAAAATGACTGTAAGCAAACATGTCCTGTCCAGTCATCCTTTTGAGTGAATTGGTTTACTTTCAAAAAGACCAACAGACTGCTAACAAGTTCAGTTAACAACACGACTTCAACTGCTCCAGTGGTTCCAATACTAAAGGATCTCTGTTGTGTCCTTCGTTACCTTGGCTTGAATCTCAGTTGGGCGTTAAAAGTTGATTGAGCCTGGATGAAGCTGCTCTCCGGTATAATCTCCATGTGTTCCCTCATTTCTGGGCATATTTCAAAGGTGAGTTTCACAGCTGCACTGGCTCTGTAATACATGAAATACAGTTGAATTAGTACAGTATTACCTAATGAAGTGGTGAATGGCTTCTTTGTGACAGTCAGTGCTTTTCTAAACAGTCAGATGTAGGTTGACACACACATACCAAACCAATCTTTACCAATGAGGGTAAATCTAAATTCAAATGTTTAAATTTTCTTTGGATTGAAGATGGCTAATCTCTAATGGGAACGGTTGTTTTCTTTATTTTGACCCAAAATATCTTTACTACAGAGCATGCCATTATAATTCAGCCATTTTATTGTAAGTACAAATAAAAAAGGAGATCATGCTCAAGGGTTTTGTACGAAAAGGCAGTTTTGTTTTTGCGATGTGTGAAAAAAGCGATAATCCCAAGTCCAAATCATCTAAGAGCCCTAATTTCCAGGAGCTCCATCTGACAGAGTTACAGCTTCAAACTTGAGGTATAAATGTCCCATCATCCAGGGAATTCTCCAGCACATCTCAACACATGTCGAAAATAGTAAAACAAGCTTGAATAAGGTGTTGAATGAAAGTCAGATGTGTGTGTGTGAGCTCTTCTGCGTCTGAGTGAGCAACAGTCACACACACGAAGGGAGTCTTCACTTTTTGACCCCCCTTCTGAAACAGTGAGGTGAACCAGATGGCTGCTTCCCCAAGGCAAGGACAAGCAGAGACACTCGGGAGATGTTAAATCATCGTCTTTACCCCTGTTAAATGATAACCTTCAAATAAGCCCCAGAGGAATTTTTATGGATACATAATCACTTTGGGCGATCAGGCCTTTTCATTAACAAGGGCATTTAGCTGATGAGCTCTCTTTTTCTGGCAGACTGCGTATATGTTTGTTTGACCTCTTTGTTTAGAAATAGATGGGACCTTCGCCTTTGACGTTAGTCCGTGTGTTCAACTTAAAAAGCATCTGAAACCATGTGGAAGGAATAAAAATGGCAACAACTTTGCAATTTTTTGAGCCTTGGGTTTGCAATCTTATCCCTCAACTGAAACACACAATTTCCTGAATTCCCTCCCGAGGACCTTGCATGAGCCTGTGTGATATCTTTGTTTTTAGTGGGGTTTCTGTGAGTCCTGTAAACATTAAAAGGGTTTTGGCAGCTTAAGTAAAAGAAAAAATGCTTTAAGCAACAACTGATGTTTCTGCATTCTTAAGATCGCAAAAAACTATTTCAGCAAATGTTTTTATAGATCTTAGTGAATAATGTTACATAAACAGCCACTTACTAAGTAATAGAGAAAGTTTGCAAAGAGGTTTGGAAGGTAACGAGCCTTGGAGGGAATCACAAAAAGGTTTTGGGGTCAAAACTGATCATTTGATCTGAGCAGAGTTCACCGGCAAACAGAATATTCCTGCAGTCTTGAAGCCGAGTTAAGCCGGGCGTACACTGTGCGACTTTTTGACTCCCAGCGTTCAGCTTCAGCTCAAACTGTACGACTTCCTCGCAGAGCAGATCTCACGAGTCGTGTGCTCACACTGCACGACCCAGTTCTCGCATGCGACCTGACTGCTCACACTGTACGTCTGGTAGCAACACGCCGACCCTAAGAATATGCTAAAAATAGCAGTTTTTACTCAACACGTCAGACTTTTTTGTCTTGTCTTGCCTGTTGTCCTTCGGGAGTGCTGCAGGAGGACACACAGGGATTTATGGGGGTTGGATGAGGAAAACGAAATAAAGAAAGTAAATCTGTGTTTAGTGATCAGTTTAATTTGACATGAACACGACAAACACGCTTTCTTGACAATCTTTGTGAGTAAAAAAATGTGTAGAAACAAAAACGAACAGCGTGTGTTATTAGGGAAATAGCGAGCGAGTGGCGTTGATGCAGGATTGCGCATGCACCGTGAGCGGTTCTGATACTTTTTGGGTCGCAGCTGCTCAACAGTGCGATAGCCTCACGAGGGACGAGCGAAATATTAAACACGCCAGAAGTCCGTGCGACCTCACGACTGCTGATCGGCAGCTGGTCACGTGGTGTTAATCGCCTCTCGTAACCCCCTGTACACTACACGACCGCTCGGCGCAAAACTCGCCCCGATGTCGTGGATTCTCGCACGACTGGACAATCGGCTCAAAAAAGTGAAAAAGTCGCACAGTGTACGCCCGGCTTAAGTGAGTGGCCAAAGCCGAGCCTCCGCCTTTTCTTAAAGAGGCCCAGATGGCTTTGCTCATTTATTCTACATGTACTCCAAAGCCTCATGGGATGCTACCTCCCAAATGGCAAAAACTCAAGACAACTACAACGGTCACTACGAAGGATACTTAAAAATACGATGGATCCTTCACAATTACCAGCTCAAAAAAACAAAAAACAATCCAGATTATCCGTTAGCAGCCGTGTGTTTTCAAAACTAAGAAAGTGTAATGAGCTCTGCATCAACAACACGCTCGTCCCATTCCTCAGACCAAACAGTGATGATATAGCTGGCACATTTAAAATACAGCAAAAAAAAAAAACAAAACAATGACAGAACAACAAACAGCAAAAAACAAAAAACAAAAACAAAGTTGTGTTTTTGTGGCATGAATTTAGACAAGAATGCCTAACTCTCAAACTGGTGCCAGTGGACGAGTGGCTTCAAAGCCTCGGCTTTGCATTTGAGAAAAAAAAAATAAATAAATAAAAAACAGAAAATCTCTGCCAACGGTGTTCTAAATATTCAAACGACTGGCTCGGAAGCAAAAGTCAAAAACTGCATTTCTTAAAGCCTCTTAAAAATACTTTCAATTAATAGGAGTGTTATTTAAATCCCTGGCACACACACATGATAGACACATTCAATCATGCTTTGTGCTGCTCTCTTAACAGAACTGTCAAACTAAAGAGTGCTTGTGGGATATCTACCTATCCAAAGAAAAAAGTGACAAACTGATGAAAGCAGCATCTCTCTTATTGTTCCTCCCAAAAATCTGCCAAGCAATTTTGCATTCAGATTATTGTCTTGGAGGCAGAGTGACATACTGCGTAGTTTGCCACTCCAAGCATTAGTTTTTCTTCACTTGAAAAGCTGCAGTTCATCTTGACACTGTCATCACCACGTTGTCACATGTGCTGGTGTGCCAGCGCACCAGATGGCAGTTGTCACAAATCCCCTACCCCCACACACGCACTTCCTCCCCCACAAGATGAATGACACAATGGCTGTTTAGGTGATTCTGCAAATGCTGCCACCCCCGGTGTATTCTTAACCTTTGGTTTGCATCAGAAATGATCACATCCATAGTCAAAACGGATTCTCTTTGGTTCAGTGCTTCTGTAAACAGAAAAAAAACAGGACTGTGGGAACGGGAACTTACTGGTTAGTCCCTTCCTTCCGTCATCATCTGTTTATGAATATTTATCAGCTGCATCTATTTTTATTTCACATTTAATATCGCTGTGCAGTCATTGGCTTGAAGAACAGTTGGGCAACTGAATTTTGGGCTGAAACGTAAGGATTCTCTGTCCGTTTTAAGGGATTTCCACAAGCTGTTCTTCGGTTAAATGTCTGCTTTTTGCAGGGATTGAGGACATGAACACGTTTTAGTGTTGTTTCCAGCAGATAAGCCAGTATGCGACATCAGCAGTGCATGGCATCTTTCCAAACTCTATTTCAAAGATTCCTCTGAGCATGAAAACAAGTCTAACAAAAACACAAAGTGCAATTTTCATTTCTCCTGTCAGTTCACTTCAGCTCTAAGATGTTGTTGCTTTATTTAAGGCAGAGATAACGAAGTGCTGAATGTTCTGAAATTGTTTTAACTGACCCACGGAGCAAACTTAAACAGAAAACTCAACACTACTTTACATATGAATGTGGAAAAGGTGAGCCAATCAGATACCATCAGGATATGAAACTACTGAGAAGCTCCGATATGAGGCAGAAACGGTACCTGATTGGTGGATATAGTTCACATGTGTCAGACACAAGGCCCGCGGAGCATTTGTATGTGGCCCGCGAGATAAATATCAGAAATATATTAAAACTGACCCGCTGGCAGATTTTACCGCAAAGACTACAACTCCCATGATGCTTTGCGGCGTTAGCGCGGAGCCGAACCGCCCCCTCCTTTGTGTTTTTCCCAGCGTCTGCTGCCGGTGTCTGCAGCTCCGCTGTCTCGGACAAATTAAACACTCCTCTCACTCAGCGACGAGTTCACTCAGCTATTTTCCGACGTTGAAGCCCAGAAATGGAGATTTTAACCGCTCAGTAATGTGTTCACGACTGAAAGAGAAAGTTTTCCAACTAACTTCCAGACAGAGCTGATATAACTCCAGCGAGCAAGGACACGCTCAAATCAGCATGACTCTGTGGCTGCTGTAGTTGTTATTTTTCCTCCCCGACACACAACAACGTGGTCAAGCTGCTCAGACATGTTCAGCAGCACAAACCTATGTGAGCACCTGTTGTCATCTAATGTTGTCATTATTATGATAAAGATGAACAAAACAACAGGAGTCTCCTCCTCAGCTCAGATCAACCCCATGATGCAGGAATCTGGCTGGAACAGGTGAGCATCACAGTAAACCAGTGGAGCAAACTGAGCTTTAAATATGTTGGTTTTATGCTCTTTTTCTGCTCCAAAACATGAAAGTTAACAGGTGAGATGTTGCATTTTCATTTAAGATAAAATTATATTTTTATTTTGTTGTTGGCCCGTGAGAAAAGATTTAACCTACAGTAAAACAGGAAGTGGAAAGGCTGCAGATAGATGAATAGAATAGAAAATCCCTTTATTGTTCCTCAGTGGGGAGAGCTAGACGCCACAGCAGCGATGACACTTATTACAGGAGAAGAAAAGGAGAATAAAAAAATAAGAAAAACGAATAAACAACAAGAAAACATAAATCCTGAATAGATTTTAAAAATGGTGAATATACCAAAAGTAATGAATACCACTGATGTGTTTTATTTAAAACTGACTTGCTCGTGTGTAATTTGGTTATTCCACATTCAGTGTTAATGCAAAAATAAGTTTGTTTCCAAATTTAAAGGTTCAAAATTGCATACATGTTGATAAAGAAAATGTGCAAATTTGCCGTCACTTTTTCAAAAAATATTAAGTTTGGCCCACGACTCCGTCCCAGAGTTTCATTTCGGCCCCTTGTGAGTTTGAGTTTGACACCCCTGCTCTAGTTGTACCTTTTCATCCAGTTGTTTTCCCACTAATATTCAGATAAACCAGAGAGGTAATTTCCTTTATTTCCTAACTTTATTGGTTTAAAGAATAAAAAAGGTCAAGAAGATAAAAAACAAATTTTTCCTTAATGGATTAAAATTTGTTACATCTACTGTAACCATGTGATCCAGTGGGGTTTTAAATGAAGCCAACTGGACTTTGGTCTTTTGAAGAGGTTTCGCTTATCATCCGAGGAGCTTTGTCAATTCTGGCTGGAATATGGGAGAGTCAAGCTTATAAGCTGTAGCCGTCTATTGTTGCTTAACTAGCTGAAACTCCCTCTGAGTATCCCTCCTCCCAACACTCTGATGAGTCATTAGCCTCCATTGCGTGGGAGTCAATTAGACACAGGAACCATCCATCCATCCATTTTCTGAACCCGCTTGTCCATGTAGGGTCGCGGGGGGGGGGGGGGGGGGGGGGGGGGGGGGTCTGGTGCCTATCTCCAGCGGTCAACGGGCAATTAGGCAGGGTACACCCTGGACAGAGAGCCAGTCCATCGCAGGGCAACTAGACACAGGAACCAGGTAGCACAATACTGAAGTTTGTGAAATTTTAAATGAATAAATTTCTCCAAGTTTCTTCCCATTCAAACAAACCTTTATTTTTATAAACATTTATTATTTGATGGTGTTTTTATTATTTAATGGTATATGGTGTGCTGTAGTGACTACACTGTGATAGTTGCTTATAAAAACAAATGTGTAAACATCTAAATATCATCAGTTTATTGAAAAGATGTCAGCTATTTCAGGCTTTGGGACCCACCTGCTTTGGACCACAATAATGTCTTGGTAGAGGCGGTCATACATGCAGATCTTCATGTCCATAATGGGCCGAAATATCGATACAGGGCTGCCGACTGCCATACCCCTTGCCTGGATAGGTATCTATTTGAGTCAGTGCACAATAAAAAATAACAATCTGAATTTTCTTTAAAAAAAAAACAAAAACAAAAACAAAAAAAGATGCCAGCAGTTATTTGTGTTTCTTGCCAGAAGAGAATATTTAAATAGCTTACTGGTTTGGTGTTTATATCGGAGAATTTGATGTAGAAGTCCAGTTTGGTTTCTCCTGGAATGGTTGGAGTGAATAATATCTCCAGCTTGATGGTCTGAAATGATCCAATCTCCCCCTCTATTACCTAAATAAGAACACATCAAAAGTGACGTGCACACATCTTCACTTAGAAGAAGAAGACAATCTTTTATATAGTGCCTCGCAAGATAAAAATCACGAGGCACTTCACAAAAACAAAACAAAAAAATGAAAGTATAAAAAGATTTCAGAAATGATTAAAAATATGTTTAAAAGGAGAAAAGAAAAAAAATGTAAGGAAAGGGAGAGAGAAAATGAATAGGAAAGAGGGAAATAAATGGATTTCGGGAAAGGTGGAATAAAAACAGAACAAGGAGAGGGTGGTGACAAAGGTCATGCAAAAGCCGGCTTTAACAGGTGAGTTTTCAGCTGCTTTTAAAGACTAAGTTCACTCAGGGAACATTCTCTGAGGGAAAACAGCTCTGGCGCTCCTGCTTCAGGAACTAGAAGTAAGCCGGAGGAGAGGTGAGCAGAACACGACAGAATTTGGAGCCTTATTTCCTGATATTCAGACATCTCGCCTCTGAATGGATAGCAGAGACACAACTTCACCGCTGACTGTTCTCCACAGATTACACAAGCCTGAAGGAGTTCTGCCGTGTTGTGGAGTTGTCATTACCAACGGTTAGCTTCGACACCTCAAACAGATTAGACTTTACACAAAATATGTTATTTCATGTGTTTTGCAATAGAGGACGCTGACTGGCATGCGAGCGGCATGCAAAATGACCAGATTAGAACACATCACAGGTGTCTCAGTCGGGATTTGACCCACTTGCCAAATAAAGGTTCAGCACAGCATTTAAGTGGCATCATTTCATTTACCTCATATCAACAAAATGCTGTTGATTCAGTCCGAGTGTGTCTAATTAAAAAGGCTATTTTTGTTATACGGTTTTAACGTTAAATTTCCTTTTGTGTATCTGAGAGATTTGAACCTGTGCAAGTAGTTAATAGAATAATTTAATAGTTGTATGTGTTATAATACTACTGTAGGGTTTTGTTGTTAATTAAACTGCATGCAAGAATAAAAAGCGGCTTGCTCCATTAAGGTTCATCAATAAGTTGAGTTGCCTTCTAGACAGTACAGAAAGTGCTAAATATTGGGTCTCCCTGAAACTGTGATAGATAATCTGCTATTCAAAACACCAATTTTCCACAATTCAATGTGCACATATCTGTGAAAATGACAAGAGCGAAGCCGAGGGCATTCAGATGCATGCACCACACACAGTTAGAATAAGCGCAGAGGGAGAGGTGATGCACCATTAGACCCCTACTAGAGAGATGTAATGGACCTTGACCAACTTTGCAGCTTCCCTTTCGGCACCAAGAACAAACGGCGTCGCTGCTAAAAACAAAACGGAGACATCCCCTAGAAGCTTGGGATATAAATAGCTATGACGACTAGACACAAAATGAAATATTTTCACCCTGAATTGATTATAATCTATCCAGCAGAACACTCAGGGTGCCTCAGGTAAAGAACTATGCAAATGTACGCTGTTTATACGTTTTAGTTGGAAAATTCAGTTTTGAGAGAGGCATACTCACACGTCCCAGTGTTATTTCACTGGTTTCTGAGGGGTTCTGCTCTGTCGGAGTGCTCACATCTGAAGACCGATCCGTCACGGTTTCTGGACCTTTCACTGTACAAAACAAATAACAGAGACAAGGATCCAAACTCTTACAGTGCAGAACCTGCTCACGGGACTTTAGAATAATAAGTGACTGACTTTCATGCAGGAGAAAAAACAAGCCAATAAACCCTTTAGGTCCGTTGTAATTGCATGAAATGCCATTATAACCTAAAAATGGTCCCGTGGTTGTGACTTTTCCTCACACTGAATCAGAAAACACTGAGAGGTTTCTGTAAATGTGAGTAAGAAATGAGCAAAGAGGCCAGTTAGGCCCTAAAAAAGAACATCTCTCTCTCTCGCTCCCTCTTTTCTTGAACCTACAGCCATGATAAATACAGAACATGACAGTTTGCAAACTATTGTCAGCATCTACCCGAGTATTTGTTCAACGTTAGAAGGGAATGTCCTACAGTTGTGACAAGAAGAAACCGTGACAGAAGCCAGCAGAGCAGAGGCAAAAAAAGATGGGGAAGCTTATCGAAGCATCAGCAGTGGAGACTGCTGAGCGCAGCAGTGACGACTTCAGATGTGGAAGAACATAAAAGAAGAGACACACGCTTTTCACCAGCTGTGAGAACAAGGTGAACTCTCCTTTTTGTCTGTGTCCTTTTATATTTTGTTCTTACAAGAACCAAATGTCCTTACAGGAGCACAGAGATGAGATCTCCCTCTTTTCTTCTTTGTCAGTTTGAGGAGTCACATGGTTTATGAAAACATCATCTGCACTATAACTTGGTAAATATTTACATCAGTAGTTTGAGCTACAAGCTAATGTGGTGCTACTAAATCTACATCTACTTAACAACAATGATGTACTTTAGTTTTATGCTTAATATGAGCGTAAAACTACTGTTTGTGTTTTCTTTATGCGTGTTATATGCTCCGGGAAAAAAAGAAGCAAACAAGTCATCAGTATCCTGTTAGCCAAAGGGTGCAGTCCTCTCAAACAATCCAAACACGGAGTTCAGTTTGAGATGCTTCCCATATTTATAAAATGTGTTATTTAAAGGTCTTTGTACTCATGTTTTTAATACATTTGCAATGGTCTCAAGTAGGAATGAATGCTTTGTAAGTCGTACTCTGGGGAAAATAAAGCTTTGATGTCAGTGGCGTGTCTAGATCTATCAAAATGGGGTGGCCCAGGTGAGGCACAACTTTGTGCATGGGTGGCACCAATGGTTATGCTTCTTTGTTTTACCCTCAAGCCTTTTGTAGACAGTGAAAAGCCTATTTAAAGGTAAATTAGTGAGGTGGCACCTGGGGTGGCCAATCAGATTCCAAGGGTGGCATGTGCTACCCCAGGCAACTCCCTGGACACGCCCCTGTTTGATGCTCATGTTTGAGGATGTAGAAGGTAGCTGGAGGAGAAATTGGCAGCAGACAGCAGGGTCTGGAGTCTTATTTCCTGATATTTGGACATCTCACCTCTGATTGGCTAACAGCAATGTGACTCTACCACCCACTTCGTTGGCTCTGCAACGTTGATGTTTTATTTCCACAAATAACACAAGCCTGGAGGAGTTGTGATGTGTGGGGGAGTTGCTAATGATAACTGTTAGCTTCTCTTAGCCAAAACGTTATCTGCTGTTTCCTGGACACTAGCCCAACAACATCCTTCCCCGCTGTGAGACATGATGGGTGAGTCCATGAATGTAAAGTGACAGTGTGATGTAGAACTGTCAGGCTTTTCTGAACAGAGCATTTTTTCCATCTATTTTCTACCAGAAGCTAATGCAGGGAATAAGGGTAGAAGACTATTTTCACATTCAGCCTGCTTGTTAAACTCAGAGACCGATCATTTTCAAAATAGATAAGTAAGAAATTGTTTCTCTGTGGACCTGATCTTTAATATTTAAGCAGTAGTCGAACCTGATTGCGGTGAAACCTCAGAGAAATCCAGATTCTGCTGATCAGGTTGGACTTGTTCAGCACCCATGGAAGAAACGCTGCATGTTAAGTTTTCACTGGATTTCTCCTAGAAGAAAAAAACAAAACACTGAGTTATCCTAAAACAAATGCACTTAATATTCTTAATCTTTGACTATTTTTATAATATAGAGCAGAAAATTAGACATGGGTTATTAGACGAAAAATGAAATAAAATGTCTGACATGAAAAAAGACATTTTACTGCTGTAAACAAACATGTCTCAGAGGACTTGACATGCACAGCAACTCATATCAAAGTCTGATCTGACCAGGCTCATGCTGGCAAAAGCCTGGGACGGCATCTGGACATGGCTAGTTTCTGGACTGAGATGTGTAGAGGTGTCCAGGCTGAAGAGGGTGGCCAGAGCTCCCTTGTTGGTTAAGCTGATGGTCCGTAAAATGGTCTGGCCCACGACGTGTGATCCAAAGTCAATGAACTGGCTGTCAACCTCCAGCTATAGAGAAAGAATACATTCACAAAACACAAAATAAAATCATTTGAACTAGTTAACAAGTAAAGCTGCCAACCCACACTCATGGTTTAACATACACAAACATTGATTTATAAAGAGACAGAGCTGTTACACTGAGTTGGACAGCCACTAAGCCTGGTTCACATCAAGCCAGATAAGAATATTTGGGGTGATTTCTTAGGTTTTTGTTCATTTTAGTTTTTTCCTACAATGATGTTACACCGAGTTGCCAAAAACTAAATTTATTTTGGTGACTGATGGAAAAAGTATGGCTTTTTTTTCTAAGTAAATAAATTCCTGGGTAAGCTGCCAAGCAAATGACACGTTTGAAATTAACCTTAGTGTTTTCAACTTGTTAATAAATGATTGATTTTTCAGGTTGCCTGTCTTGAGCCATTCAGCTGACTCCATACTAATCTGGTCTGTGTTTTACATCACACTAATCAATATTACATATATTCACATTCTGCAGATACAAAGAATCAAATGAGAAATTCAACCATATTAGACTATGCATTAAAACCACGATCTGGCAAAACCGAAGCCAACGTGGAAGTGACAAAATTGCAGAAATGAGCAGGTTCCCATTGACTCCCATGTTAAAAATTCCAACTTCACAGCAGAAATGGTAAATGGTAAACGGCCTGTATTTGATATAGCGCCTTCTAGAGTCTTGGAACCCCTCAAGGCACTTTACAACACAACCAGTCATTCACCCATTCACACACACTGGTGGGGATGAGCTACAATGTAGCCACAGCTGCCCTGGGGCGCACTGACAGAGGCGAGGCTGCTGAGCACTGGCGCCACCGGTCCCTCAGACCACCACCAGCAGGCAACGTGGGTTAAGCGTCTTGCCCAAGGACACAACGACAGCGACAGACTGAGCGGGGCTCGAACCTGCAACCTTCCGATTACGGGGCGAGCACTTAACTCCTGTGCCACCGTCGCCCCTAAATAAACATGTTTACAGCCTGGTTAAAAAATCTGTAGGTTTAAAAGGTCAAGTTTACTGTCATGACAACTCTGAGGGGGTCGAAAGTTTTTGCAAGTCATCGGTTTAGATGTATTTAAAGCTTGAAATGATGAATTATTAGGGGCGTGTCCTTTTGTTTGACAAGTAGCAGAACAACTCAGCCTTGGCCTCACGTTAAAAAATACTCCCCCTGCGGTTTTCTGGCATGAAAGCGCCCCCCAACCTACGCTAACTTCAGTTAGCTCATAGCTACATCGGCTCAGAGTTTGAAAGGTCTTAATGATCCACCCCATGTTTACAGCCCTGCTCTCAGTTCCATTTCCAGGAGTGACGAGGAGTGGGACGTGGCCAAGATGGCGGTGGTGGGAACCGCCCACTGGGCTTCAATTCAGCTCTTCAGAAACACAGGTGACAGCCCAGAGGGTTCGTCTATATAATTTATATACATTCAACGATAATTAACATGTGATAGCTTCCTGTTGGTTGTATAGCACTCTACTCACTCTGCATTTCTTTGTGTTGCATCTGACCGGCACAGAGAAAGGGCCCGCTGCTGACATAAAATGAATTTCTCCTTCCAAGTCCTCGTTAATCTGCAGAGATCAGGAAGTTGGAAAACATTCTGAATGAATATTCAAGGTTCAACGCTTTATGAAGCTGACAAAATCAGACCTGTTTACACTAAAATGAAAAATTGAATGAATTTTCAAGAGTTGTGAGAATTAAATAACACGTTGAACTCTAACAGCTAACTAACTAATGATGCTAAATAACTAGCTGGAGATGTTATGTTTGGAGTTATAGCTTTGATGTGTGACCAAAGTGGCCTGATGTAATCAAAAAGTCCTAACTTTTATAGTGATTAATGTAAAAGTATTTTATAAAGTTTTACATGTTTTCCATTTTTACATTACAATGTTATGAAAAACCCTTTATGGCAGGGCCTGAATTTATTAAGAATACAACTTGTAGCTTCTACTGGTGACATTTACAGCACATATTTAAATGTCCAGATAAATCAGTCCAAACAAGTAATAATGCATAAACAATGGAAGTGTTTCACCGCCTCATGAATGAGGAAATTTTGCAGACGGGAAGCTACAGAATGTAAGAAAGTAATTGAAAATAGCACAAATATCCTGAAAGACCTGATGTTTAGTCATTTCTAATGTTTTAAATACGTCTCAGATTTTATCGTTGTGGCTCCTCCAAAGGAAACGTGAAAGTTCTCACCGTAGGAAGGAAAATAGCCTGGAAGCTACTGGACATCCCAGCAGATATGGGACCAGAGGGCTCAAAGCTGAAACAAAGAGATAAGTTACTATCAGGAAGAAACTAAATTGTTTTGTGGGTCTGTTTTTTACTGGTGACATAATTTAAAGGCACATTTCAATGCTTTATTCTAACAGCAAAAATTTGGCATGAAAGTAAAAACGCAAACCAGGCAGTAACCGAATGTTCTATACAACCCAAATCAGTCACTCCAAATGAATAGTGATGAAAACTCTGCTAAGATACAAGCCGCTAACAGAAGAGTCACACATTCACCTTGTAACAGGCAATAAAAAGAAGACCCCCCCCCCCCCCCATACACACACACCATTAAACTTACTGGCTCAAACTCTAAACCAGGTGTAAAAATTAGACGAGGTAGAAGCATGAGGAGTGTGAAATTTTCCAAAGCAAAAACAATCTCACAATGGTGCCCAGAGGAGTTTGGCAACTTCCTGGCCTTCTGAAGACACAGGAGGGCAAATCAATATTAATACAGCAGAAGGTCAGCAAAAGAAGCAGCAAGAATACTCACAATTCAATAAGTAGCAAAAACACGTGTAGCTATGAGCCTGTAAAAAAGATTCTAGAACATGGTGGGTTTCTGCTGTGTTGCTATTGGGACAGAACATGTTTTAAGGGCAAATAAAAAAAAAAGAAAAGTAAGTTCAGTCACTGCTGGCTTTTTTTTCTTAAATGAGATGTAAAATGGGAAATATGGAGCGGGAGATTGATAGGCGTGCTGCGTCTACAGTGATGTGGACATTGTACCGGTCTGCCGTGGTGAAGAGAGAGTTGAGCTAAAACTGAAAGCTCTCCATTTAACGGCCGACGTTCATACCCTCACCTATGGTCACGAGAAAAAATGAGATCACGGAAACAAGCGACCTAAATGAGTTTTCTCTGCAGGTTGGCTGAGCTCTCCCTTAGAGATTGAAAGAGAAGCTCGAATATGCGGGAGGGACTTGGATGAAATTCCACATCGGGAGGAACCAGTTGAGGTGGCTCAGGCATCTATTTAGGATGCCTCATAGAAGCTTCCCTGGTGAGGTTTTCAGGACACATCCAACCAGGAGGAGGCCCAAAGGAAGACACAGGACATGCTGGATGGACTATGTGTCATGGTCTGTGTCTGTGTCTCTTTGTGTTCCTCTTGTGTCCCCTGGTCTTCAGCCCTCCAGATATTCCCTCTCAGGTCCTGTGTTCCTTCAGTCTCCCCACCATAATTTCCATAGGTCTATTATTCCAGTTTTGTGTGTGGTGTGTGTTTGTGTGTGTCCTTTCCCAGTTAGGTCTGGTGTCCTCTCCTGCTCCTCTTCCCTGATTAGTTATCACTTTCACCTGGTTCTCTCCACTCACACCTGCAGCTCATCATCCTCCCATTGTACCCCAGTGTATTTAAGCCCTGTCTTGTCTCAGTGTCTTGTCGGTCCATTGTTTTGTATGTCAGCGTTTTCTGGTGCTCTGTGTGAGTCGTTTGTCTCGTCCACAGACTTTGTGCTCTAAGTGAGCTTTCGGTGTCCTGTGCTCCAGGACTTATGGTTTTTTGGCTCGCAGCCTTTTGGATTTATTTTTGTTGTCATCCTACAAATAAAAGGATTTATTCTTTACATCAACTCCTGCCTCGAGTCATCCTGGGTATCTGCATTTTTGGGTCCTAACCATCCCCTTAACGTGACAGAATGGACCGACCAACCAGGACCCAGCAGACCCGGATGTACCCTTTTTATGGTGACCCGGACTCCTGTAGGACCTTTTTATTGGACTTGGTGATGTTTTATGACATGGACATGTTGGACATGGACCTGGTTATTAACACGGTGTTCCTCCTAAGGGGAAGAGCCCTGCAATGGGCCAGCCGTTATTTAGATCAGAATCCTATTGAGGAGTTAGTTTTTTGGGACTTCGCTGAGGATCTGCAGGACACTTGCAGCAGCCCACAGTTTCCCTCCTTTTCTGAGGATTTCAATCTGTCAGCAAGCGCTGTTGTAAGAGCTGCCTTCTCTGCATCTAAGAAGCACCACACCTCCACATCTCCGTCTGGTCCTGACAGCGCCACCTCCCCGTCTCAGTCCGTCAGATCCGGTTTCATCTCCATCCCTCCTGTACATGTTGATGTTGTCTCAGCACCTCAGACGAGTCCACCCTCCACGTCACAGCAGCAAAGAGCCCGGGTTTCATCTCCTGATCAGCGTTGCTGGCGAGGCACGGTTCCTCCTGACGCTACCTCCAGTCTTCTGGTGGGTCAGGTAGCTAAGGGAGCTGAATCCTCACCTCAAGGTCTGCGCTCTCGGTCAGCAGATGTCCCAGAAACCTCCTCTTCTCCCTCCATTTCTGCCGATGTCATCCCCGCACCTCCGAGGAGATGCACTCGTCACAAACATCACCACCATCACCAGCAGTCTCCTGAAGCCAGAACTGTGCCGCCTGTCCAAGAGGCCCCTGCTCTGCAACCCACGTCTGAGTTCCATCTGCCATCACCACATCCAGCTTCAGCGGTGGTCCCGGAGGACGCATCGCATCCAGCTTCAGCGGTGGTCCCAGAGGACACATCGCATCCAGCTTCAGCGGTGGTTCCGGAGGACGCATCGCATCCTGCTTCGGCGGTGGTCCTGGTGGACGCATCACATCCGGACCAGCTCTTCCACGAGGCTCTGGTCCAGCCCGTCCACGAGGCTCCGGTCCAGCCTATCCAAGAGGCTCTGGTCCAGCCAGTCCGAGAGGCTCCGGTCCAGCCAGTCCAAGAGGCTTCGTCCAGTCTGATGCCTCCAGGCCACGGGTCGATGCCTCCAGGCCAAGGGTTGACGCCTCCAGGCCAGAAGTCGACGCCTCCAGGTCAGAAGTCGACGCCTCCAGGTCAGAAGTCGACGCTTCCAGGCCAGACGTCGACGCCTCCAGGCCAGAAGTCGACGCCTCCAGGCCAGAAGTCGACACCTCCAGGCCAGCAGTCGACGCCTCCAGTCCAAGGGTCAAAGCCTCGAGTCCAAAGGTCGACATCTCGAGTCCAAGGGTTGACGCCTCCAGGCCAGAAGTCGACGCCTCGAGTCCAAGGGTTGACGCCTCCAGGCCAGAAGTCGACGCCTCCAGGCCAGAAGTTGACGCCTCCAGGCCAGAAGTTGACGCTTCCTGTCTTGAAGTCGACGCCTCCTGTCTTGAAGTCTACACCTCCTGTCTCTGAAGTCGACGCCTCCTGTCTCTGAAGTCGACGCCTCCTGTCTCTGAAGTCGACGCCTCCTGTCTCTGAAGTCGACGCCTCCTGTCTCTGAAGTCGACTCCTCCTGTCTCTGAAGTTGACGCTTCCTGTCTCTGAAGTTGACGTCTCCAGCTCTGAAGTTGACGTCTCCAGCTCTGAAGTCGACGTCTCCAGCTCTGAGGTCGACGTCTCCCCGTCTCAAGTCTCGACGGCCACGTCACAAGTGTTCCAGTGTCCTGAGTCCCAGGCTCAAGTCTCCCCACAAGTGTTCCAGTCCCCACAAGTGTTCCAGTCCCCAGTGTTCCTGTCTCCAGCGTCCCTACAAGTGTCTACGTCCCCAGCGTCCCCACAAGTGTCTACGTCCCCAGCGTCCCCACAAGTGTCTACGTCCCCAGCGTCCCCACGAGTGTCCCAGTCTCAAGTGTCCCCTGTGTTCCAGTCTCAAGTGTCCCCTGTGTTCTAGTCTCAAGTGTCCCCTGTGTTCCAGTCTCAAGTGTCCCCTGTGTTCCAGTCTCAAGAGTCCCCTGTGTTCCAGTCTCAAGAGTCCCAGTCTCAAGTGTCTCAAGTGTTCCAGTCTCAAGTGTCTCAAGTGTTCCAGTCTCAAGAGTCCCCTGTGTTCCAGTCTCAAGTGTCCCAGTCTCAAGTGTTCCAGTCTCAAGAGTCCCCTGTGTCCCAGTCTCAAGTGTCCCAGTCTCAAGTGTTCCAGTCTCAAGAGTTCCCTGTGTTCCAGTCTCAAGTGTCCCAGTCTCAAGTGTTCCAGTCTCAAGAGTCCCCTGTGTTCCAGTTTCAAGAGTCCCATGTGTACCAGTCTCTCGAGTCCCAAGAGTTCCAGTCTCAGTCCCTGTCTCCAGAGTTCCAGTCTCAGTCCCTGTCTCCAGAGACCCTTCCTCGTCCTCTGAAGTCCCTTCCTCGTCCTCCTACTCCAAAGCCCCCGATCCCCAGGGTTCCCCGTCGCCGGCCCCCAAGACTTCCCTGGTCCCGCCTCCTGGTTCCCCATCACCGGCCCCCAAGACTTCCCTGGTCCCGCCTCCTGGTTCCCCGTCGCCGGCCCCCAAGACTTCCCTGGTCCCGCCTCCTGGTTCCCCGTCGCCAGCCCCCAAGACTTCCCTGGTCCCGCCTCCTGGTCCCCCGTCGCCGGCCCCCGAGACTTCCCTGGTCCCGCCTCCTGGTCCCCTGTCGCCGATCCCTCTGAGTCTCCTGTTCCCTCCTCGTCCGCCCTTGTGGGTTGTTTTTGATTGGTCCCTCCGCTCCCTCCCTGTGTTTTTTGGTGTCCTGTTTTGTTTTTGTCTTTTGTTTGTGGTTTGTCTGGTTCTCTTCTTGGGTGTCTGGTATCTGTCCCTTGGGGTGGGGTGGCGTGGAGGGGTACTGTCATGGTCTGTGTCTGTGTCTCTTTGTGTTCCTCTTGTGTCCCCTGGTCTTCAGCCCTCCAGATATTCCCTCTCAGGTCCTGTGTTCCTTCAGTCTCCCCACCATAATTTCCATAGGTCTATTATTCCAGTTTTGTGTGTGGTGTGTGTGTGTGTGTGTGTGTATGTGTGTGTGTGTGTGTGTGTGTGTGTGTGTGTGTGTGTTTATGTCCTCCTCCAGCTAGGTGTGTGTATGTGTGTGTGTGTGTGTTTATGCCCTCCTTCAGCTAGGTGTGTGTGTGTGTGTGTGTGTGTGTGTGTGTGTGTTAGTGTGTGTGTTAATGTCCTCCCTCAGCTAGGTGTGTGTGTGTCCTTTCCCAGTTAGGTCTGGTGTCCTCTCCTGCTCCTCCCCCCTGATTAGTCATCACTTTCACCTGGTTCTCTCCCCTCACACCTGCAGCTCATCATCTCATTATGCCCCAGTGTATT